CAATCAAGTCCACTCTTGTCTGGAAGAAACACGAAGGCAGTGTTTTCCATCGTCAGGGCATTCGCTCGCCTGCAGTCCACGCAGTTATTGCCTTGACTGTAGATAAGAGTGCTGCTTTGGGTGATTTTTAAGGTCAAAAAACATTCCTGAGGCCTCTGTTACCCAATCCTTGAGATAGTCTGAGGTCTCTGTCCTTGTAGCCCTGCAAGCCCACGGTGACAGTTTACAGGGGGCACATCTGCTCACAGCATGACCTGAGTGTCAGGGTCTGCTCTGCCGGGGACCAGCCCTGGGTGAACAGACCTGAAGCAGGGGCACCGCGAGGGTTAAATAAAGAGACAGAAATAAGAGAAAAGGCCGGGGAGCAGGTCTGGGACCCCCACTGTCCTCAGCTTGCTTAGAACCAGAAACATTAGAACAACAAATGTGCTTTAGTTAGATTAGACTCTTACGTATTCTGAAGGTCTTGGCCAAATGTAAATATAAGCAGGTAAGCATAAACATAAAAATGGGTTTAGCTGAGCATAAATAGATGTAATGCACTTCCATCAGGGGAAATTCTTCTAGGAGGCCTGCTCAGGGGTGGTACACCATCTGGGGGCTCCAGCAATCTGAATTCTGGTCCCCAACATTGCTCCCGGAAGAGGACTGAGGAGGAACAGTGGGACCTGTGCCTTTTGGGGAAGGGGAAGCCTCACCAGTCCCCAAGGTATCTGAGAGCCTAAGGAATGGGCCCAGGTGCACAGGGCCTGAGAATGTAATGTGAGATGTGAGGGGTTCCTGGGTGCTTGCAGAACCTTCTGTCCAGGATGTAGTGAGAGGAAGTCTAAGTTGAAATAAAAATTGGATGAAGAAGAATTAAATGAGAGATTGGCTTTGTTGCATTTTTATTTTGAAGAATGGGTCAAGGTAAGAGGGTTTGGTATTTCAAACGGATTAAATATTGCATCTGACTGGGACATATCAGTAGTGTTTTCACACCGTAGAGCCCAGGAAAGCAAGTAAATACGGCAATTGAAGTTATTTTGGAGGTGCTGATATTTAAAATTTCTTCTTTTCTTCAGACTGTATCATGACAAGTAATGCTTTTAGCAGGACCCTTAATGGTCTTAATTTAAAAGGGAAGAGCTGGTTCAACGTTCAGTAATTTGAAGTGACATTTGTTGGGGTTTTGGGAACTCAAGCTTCCCCTAAAGCCTGGTAGCGTTGAGGGACCAGATAATGCTGTGGATAGAGTGTGGGCCTCCTGCATGCAAAAACTGCACACCTGTGGTCTCCCTGCTCTGACTTCAGTAAATTTCCTAGGGCAAGGGTGGGTGCTATCGGCTATACTCTACCTGCCCTGCCCTGCCCTGCCCTGGATCCTGGTGGTTCAATGCTCAGCCCTGCCATGCAGTGATACTTGGGGCCTGTCACCAGTAGGTAGGGGTTAGTGGTGGGACTTGTGGCCCCTGGCATCAAATGTGGGGATCTTGTAAATTGTAAATTCAGGGAATGCCTACACCCACTTGTGTCATCTTCCCCAGCCCAACTTTAGTAATTAAAAAAATTTTTGTTTGGGATCCACATCCTGCCTCTGTGCTCTAGGGTCAGTCATGGTACTGGAGGAACCATGTAGTACTGGGGGTCAAACCTAGGCTCCTGTGTGCAGAGCATGTGTTCCAGCCTTTAACTATATCTCTGGCTCCCATGATATTTTAAGATCTAAAGGATGACAACCAGCCTTCTGTGATTTACATTAGAGAAAAAAGTTAAGTGCAGGTCATATGTCTGCTAAAGGATTCATATCCAAAATGTATAAGAAACTAATATAACTCAGTGGCAAAAATAAATTAAAAACAAATGACATTTTTTATAAAAGATTTATAAGGATACTTCCAAAGAAGATATACAGCTGAGCAGCATGGTTGTTAGGAAGATGGAGAAAAGAGAAGCACATACTTATGAGAACCATCATATGAGTCAGCAATTCTACTTGTGAATATTTATTCCGAGAAAACAAAAACATGGAGTCCAAAAGCTTTCTGCTCCCCTGTGTTCACTGTAGAATGGCTTGGAATACACAGGGCATGGAAACTGTGTCTCCATCAATGGATGACTAGCTGGAGAAACTGTTGTCTCTACAGTCATAGTCATTCTCAGTAATGTTTGGCTGATGATGCCCCTCCTGTACCTGGTGGATCGAGACACCATAAATACTTTCTTTGCGTAGTCATTCCCTGTGATGTTCATACAGTGACAAAATCTCCCAACTCTGCCTAATTTCTCAGAAAGGATCCCTGCTCTTAAGTGATGCACGATTATACAATGAAATATTATTCAGTCATGGAAAAGAAGTTAGGGGCTAGAGAGAAGTGCAGCTGGTAAGGTGCTTGCCTTGCAAGTGCCTAACCTAGGTTCAATCCCCGGCATCCCATATGGTTTCCTTAGCACCACCAGGAGTAATTCCTGAGTGCAGAGCCAGGAGTGATCCCTGAGTGTCCCTAGGTGTGACCCCAAAACAAACAAAAACAAAAAAAGAAAAGTAGGTAATCCTAACATTTTTTTTTTCTTTTTGGGTCACACCCGGCAATGCACAGGGGTTACTCCTGGCTCTGCACTCAGGAATTACTCCTGGTGGTGCTCAGGGGACCATATGGGATATTGGGAATCGAACCCGGGTCGGCCAAGTGCAAGGCAAATGCCCTACCTGCTGTGCTATCACTCCAGCCCCAATCATGACACTTTTGATAACATGGATGGATCTTAAAGGCAAGTGAAAGTCGAAGTTTTACTATGGAAAGTCAAATGCTTGGGCCAGGGAGAGAGCTTAAGTGGTAGAGTACATGCCTGGCATGTGCCAAGCCATGAGTTCAGTTCTTGTACCATTTGTCTCCAGAGCACAGTTGTGTACAGCCCTGACAACCCCTGATCATCCTTAGAAGTAGCCTCAGACCCCCTGCGTTCCACTGGGGGTGACCCCTATTAAAAAAGATAAAGAGAAATACCCTACAGTTTTGCTTATATCTGGAATCTGAAAGAAAAGCTACCATACTCCTAAGTCACAGAATGGGTTGGCAACTGCCAGAGGCAACGTGCAAAGAAAGGGGGAGAAAAGAGGGCTAAGCTCCAAGTTGTGGGGATGTACAGTGTCTTCAGCATGATTACGGAGACGGTAGTCAACATGATGTTGCATAGGGGAAAGCTGTAAAGGGAGCAGATCTTCAAAGTTCAAGTCACAAGAAAAAAAGAATTTCTAGTGATACGTGGTGATAGATATTAACTAGACGTTGTGGTGAGCATTTTGAAATATATGCTTATATCAAAACATATTGTCTTCTGAACGTAATATAATATTATCTGTCAATTACATATCATGAAAGAAAGAAAGAGGGGCCGGAGAGGTAGAACAGTGTGTAGGGCACTTGCCTTGCATACAGCCAACCAGTCCAGGACTCATCCCTGAGCACAGAGGTGGGAGTAAGTCCTGAGCACCACCGGACATGCCCTCCTCTCCCCGCCCCCCCAAAAAAAATGAAGAGAAAAAAGAAAAGGAAGGGCAAGAAGGAAAGAGACCAGGCTTAAGACACAGGCAGGATGCTTGTTCCGAGACCCAGTGCACTTTTGAAGGTGGGTGGCAGAATCTCGGTACCTTTCTAGCAGCCAAGTGAAAGCCAAAAACAAGAGTTCACAGGTAAGTGGAAGCACAGCTGTTTTCACCACTTTGTTTTCAGAAAAAAAATTTTTTTTTTTCCTATGGGGAGGTTTAGAATTTCATGAAGAGACCACTCAGTCACCTTTAGGTGATGTATCAGATTGATCAGTCAAGATTTATAATCACCCTCAGCTTTGGTTAATAGCATAGTATCAAGTGTAGAGTTTAGTATAATAGTTTTCTGCAGTCCAAATATAGACATTTCACTTGTATTCTAGTCCAGCTTAAGAATAATACACAAGTGTCTGTAAAGCAGTGATTTTTTTTCTTTTTCCTCATTTCACAACTTTTTACTTTATGCAAACACCGTGGTTTACAAAATTTTTCATAATGCAGTTATGGGCATTCAGTGTTCCACCACCAATCCCGCCACCAGTGAGATCTTTCTTCCACTATTGTCCCCTGTTACCAAACCATCTCCCACGCCTGAGACTTTAGTAGGCACATCATCATTTATTTAATATTTGAAGGCAGTCACTCTTGACTAGCAATTCTCTTTGGGGACACACAGTTTGGTGGGGGAATAGGTGCCATGTCTGGGTCCCTCTTTTCCATGAACATCTGGAGAAACAGTCCAGGTTTTTTCATGATAGTTAAGTCATTTTGAAATTTCAGAGACTTCATATTTTACCCCACCCTGCCTCTCTTCCCAGCCCTCACCCCCACTCATCCATAAACTCCAGACTGAGCACCCCTAGTCTGGAGTGAGGGGAGGACGGCAGCGAACAGGTAGCACCAAGACCTGGAATACGGGATTTTTGTGCGGGTCACAGATTTCCCTGCTTTGAGAGGAAGCCAGACGGGAGAGAGGGTTGATTTCCATTTATGAAAGTCGACGAGCTTGACAGGACACGTCTGAACAAAAAAGGTTTATTGCACTCTGACAGGAATGTGGTCAGGAATGTGATTTTTCTTAGAGAGCAACTGGATGTGCTCTACAGCACTGAAAAGAGATCTTCTGGGAGCTCACTCACAGAGAAAACCGGGGTGGTAGCAGCCTGGAAAAATTGTGAGGCGGATATAACCAAATACCATCAGAGTTGCTTTTAACAAATAAGAGGCATCATTCTCTTTTGGAATTTGATCGTTTGGAGTTAAAAGTTTTAAAAATATCTAACTTTAAGTGTTTATAACTTCTTGGTGAGCCTGAAGAAAAATGCCTTGTACAATCTTAGGAAGTTGAATGACTGTTTGCTTTGGGGATGGTTTATCACTGAGCCACGTACACATTTAAAACGTAATGTTTATTTAGCCAGCTGTATTTGCTTAAGATATTTCATTAATTGTAGTTTCTTTTGCATTGCAGTATTTTAATCTTGGGGGCTTCCGGAGGAGTTGGTACCTTTGCTATTCAGGTAAATCAGGTTTTTGTTTTGTTTTGTTTTTTAATCTAGTGAATAGGAAGATTATGGTTTTCATGAATTTATAAATTCATGTACTGTGGGATATTCATTCTTAAAAGTCAAGAGATAGGTTCAATAAATTCACTCTAAATTAAACTTGATTTTTTAAGCAGAGGAAACTCGTCTAATGCAGAAGGATGTGTCAACATTTCTAGCAGTTTTCATATGACTAGGGGATGCTTAATTGGGTGATGAAACTCTATCTTAAAGTGAATGTAGGAGGTAGTTGCGATATAGTAAAGGTGTCACTGAAGCGCTTCATCCAGCACTGGACCTCCTGTGGCAGTGGTGCCCATCAGCTGCCCTAGGTGGCCTCACCAGGTGATAGGCCGCACTCTGTATCTGGGTTTGCGTACTCCCTCTCTGACAACACACATGAAAGCAATTCCTGATGATGTTTCTGAGAACATAGCCCTCCTGCTCAGTGATGCCTGACTGAGGATAATAATGACCTCTGGCAGTGAGGGCACATGGAAGAGCTCTTGGAACAGTCACAGTTCTGAGACAGACCGGGAGGATGGGGTGTGCTTTATACATGTCTTCTCTATGCGTGTGCAAGTGCGTACATGCTTCCACATCCAGTACAAAGTCAAAGTTATTTTTAAACTGCTTTAACAGTTTTTTGTTTTTATTTTTAAAAGTCATTTTCAAAGGTGTTTTACTTGTGTTCAGAGATCCTAAAGAGTTTTAAGTGGGAGGGGGGGAAAATCCTAGAAATTTGGGGGGAAATTATTGATATTTTCAACATATGGCAGATTCTTCATAGGATTTAATTTCTCCTAAAAAACATATTATGTATGTAATATAAGTGGTTGGAACATAGTTTACTTTTTTCTCAATATTTGAAACAGTAGATCCAGGATATTTATCTTGGATTCCGTTAATCTTCAGACACATAAATTTTGCTTGGCTGGCTCTTGAAAGTAACATATAATTATACTGTTGCCCATAAACATACAAAATTATACATATGATTTTACTTAATATATTTTAATGAAGAAAATATATGAAGTAAATATGCCCCTTGGAAATTTTCGGTGAGTATTGCTTTCTGAAAGTGAGAAATTAGAATGTGAATGGCTTGAGCAAAATTATTATTTTTTTTTTTTTGGCTTTTTGGGTCACACCTGGCGATGCACAGGGCTACTCCTGGCTCTGCACTCAGGAATTACCCCTCGCGGTGCTCAGGGGACCATATGGGATGCTGGGAATCAAACCGGGGTCAGCCGCGTGTAAGGCAAATTGCCCTACCCACTGTGCTATCACTCCTGCCCCGAGCAAAATTATTTTTGTACTTGACATATAATCTATATGTCCTATAGAGTGGGTGAACAGAGAAGGTATTTTATATTCTAATGAATCTTTGTAGCTTACATTAAGGAAGCTAAGAAAATTGATGGAGAAGGCAGCTCATCTGTTGGGACATAACTATCAGTAAATTTATCAGTAATAGCTATGCTTGTGCTAAGCTGACAGTGGGCCCCTTTTAATTCTACGAAATTGTCATTGTATTAAAGATTTACTGCAATTTTGCAGCAGGATGGTCTCTGCATACTTAATCCTGAGAAACATTAGAAGCTAGGTTTTATTTTGAGGTCTAGTTATTTCAGTTTTTTGAAATATAAGAGATCACAGATCACAGATCATCGTGTTATTCGTCGATTGACTCGAGCAGGCCCCAGTAACGTCTCCTTCATCCTAGCCCTGAGATTATATTCAAGGTTCTTTAGGAGAATGAGACCCATCATTGTTACTGGTATTTGGCATATTGGGTACGACACAGGGAGTTTGCCAGACTCTGCCGTGTGGGCAGGTTACATTCAGGAGCCTGCCAGTTTGTCAAAGTAGGAATGAGATGTCATAATAAAATGTAGCGCGGCCACAAATGCGGCCGCGCGGTTCCGGGCTCTGGTTTTTATAGTCTCTGAGTCTTGGCCGCTGATGGGATTACACGGCGCCAGGGGGCCAGTTGGTGGGTGTGACCCCCGCCTACTGGAATTTGGAGGATCTGGGTGGAGGATGCTCGACTCCAATCCGAGTAGGCTTGGAGGTCTCGGCCCCGGAACCCACGTGGCTTTGTCCCTCTGCCGGTACCTTCAGGTGTGCGGAGAGTGGTCTCAGCATGGTGGTGTCTGGTCCTGGAGGTCGTCGGCTGCCGGAGACCTGGTCGGGGCGGGGAGGAAAGCTCAACCCGCTCCCTCCAAGAGGCCACGGCGAGGAATAGCCAGGCGCGGGGGCAGGAGACTGCATGATAAGAGATATGAATTTTATTTTATTTACTTATTTAGGAGCCACAGCTGGAGTTGATCAGGGCCTCTCCAGGCAAGGCTTAGGGGACCCACCTTGGGGATTGAACCTGGGTTTCTTATGTGCAAACCCTATGTCCCTACCCTTTGAGCTGATCCTCTCTGATTCTATAACCCCAAGGCATCTGAACTTTTAATCCTGGGAAATTGATGTATAGGTATTTTTTACTCCAAAGGAGAGGCTCTAACCCATGTTTTGAAAGTAAAGTGACCATATTTTCTACTGCCTGTTTTTTTTTTCTTTTTTGGTCATACCTGGCAATGATCAGTGGTTACTCCTGGCTCTGCACTCAGGAATTACTTCTAGGGGTGCTCAGGGTACCATATGGGATGCTGGGAATCGAACCTGGGTCGGCTACGTGCAAGGCAAATGCCCCACCTACTGTGCTATCGCTCCAGCCCCTACTGCCTATTTTTAAAAGCACATTTTCATGTGTTACCTAGTACCTGGTAGCTGGTTGCTTTGATACAGCAATCTTTCACTCAGACTCTCCGAACACTTAATGGAGATAAAAATGAAGAGATGTTGCATTTTTATGTTCTGGACACACTTAACACCATCAGTTTCCAGGGACACATGATGTCCATTTATTTTTGTTATCACTGACTATGTTACACTTGAGGCTGCCCACTTCTGTCTTTTCTGAGACTCCAGGAGGTTGGTTTAAACTTCATGACAACTGTCATGTCCTAGAAAAATGGGACCTGCTTCTAGTTCTTGAGTTTCCTTAGTGAACAAAAGTTTGATCTAACAGATGGCTTCCTCTTGTACTTGTTAGGACAATGAAGCACCTTGGGTTTTCTAGAGGTTTAACTAATATGTGTACATGTAGTGCCAACTTTTTCTATTAATTATTATTTTTTTAATGCAACCGTTTTCTCTGTTTCCTTTATTTTTTGGCAGGTACTAAAAGCATGGAAGGCTCATGTGACAGCAGTTTGCTCTCAGGACGCCAGTGAACTTGTAAGGAAGCTTGGGGCAGATGATGTAATTGACTATAGATCCGGAAATATGGAAGAACAGTTGAGCTCTTTACAACCGTATGTATTACCACAATGTGGTATGTATTACCACATTGGGATGGTGGAAAAAGGACAGTTGCTAAGGAAGACATGATTGGTTTAGTGGTCTTAAAATCATTGAATTGTTTTTCTGGATTCTCAATTAGGATTCCATGTCATTGGAAGTCATTTATGTTGGTTTCTGTTTTAATTCTAGATGTTGATGTAGCACAGTGTCATTACATGATCTTTAGCTAATTTTTTTTTTTCTTTTGGATCAGTGTTAGTGGTGTGATTGGAGGTCAATCCCAGCAGTGTTTGAAGAACTTTGTGGTGCTGGGGATCAAATCCAGGGTTCTCACATACATAGAATGTATACTCCAGCCTGCCTGCCCGCTCATTTTCTAGGTTGTATTTAGTTTTGAGGCCATGCCTGCCAGTGCTCAAGGATTATTCCTGGCTCTGTGCTCAGGCATCACTCTTGGCAGTACTTGATACTGAACCTGGAAAACCAGGGTTGCCGCATGCAAAGCAGGCACCTTCTTTACTATCTCTCAGACTCCACTTCTGCTCACTTTAAGGTGGCTTTTTTTTTTTTTGCTTTTTGGGTCACACCTGGCAATGCACAGGGGTCACTCCTGGCTCTGTGCTCAGGAATTACCCCTGGTGGTGCTCAGGGGACCATATGGGATGCTGGGAATCAAACCCGGGTCGGCCGCGTGCAAGGCAAATGCCCTACCCACTGTGCTATCATTCCAGTCCCCTAAAGTGGCTTTTCTTGCTAGTTTGCAAGAAATCTGAAGGCAAAATCAGAGGAACGTTTTGTTCTATAGCATCTGCCTGCACAGAAAAACATGGGGCAGGACATGAAAATACACAATCAGCACCAAGCTTGCTTTTATTGATGGAGCTTAGGAAAGGATTTCCCGGAAATGCAGGCAGGACAAGCATTGGTCAGCGGGGCACTTGTGGTGGCTCTCTGTGTGTCTGAATGTCAGGCTGTGGTTCAGACAGGAGGTATTTTAATCCAGCCCCAGAGTAAGGGCACCACTGGTAAGTATTTGAAAAGCTGTTTTCTTGATTCTTTTTCAGAGGGCTCCCCCCTCCCCGCTTTCCCTTTTTTGGTTAAGTTTTCAGAAGTGAACCATTCTTGTTCTGCCTCACTCTGAGATACGGTTTCATGGTTTTACAAAAGGGAGGGGGCAGGAGGGCAGCCAGTCCCCATCTGACCCTGCCGAGTCTTTCTCAGCCAACTGCCAGCTCCCAAGGTTAAGTGGCGGTGCCACCAGGAGCACCTGCTCCAAGCAAGCAAAGCTCGAGACACAATACAGATGCAGTATTGAACGAGACTTAAATTCTGGTGTGTGTGTGGGGGGGGGGGGGAGATGGGGTGGGACTTTGGTGATTCCTGCTCTCAAGAACACTGATGCAGGCAAAAGAGGGAGCAGATGACTGCGGGGAGGCTCTTCCAGGGCTCGGTTCACAGGCTGCAGAGAGCAAGGCTGCAGAACAGAGTGTTCTGCTTTGGTCCTGTTCCTCCCTGTGTCTCTCTCCGTGGAATGGTATGGTGGCATCTAGTCAGTACCCAATAAATATTTACTTAAGTGTGTGTATGTGTGTGTGTGTGTGTGTTGTGTGCGCGCGCGCGCGTGTATGAGGGAATGGAGGGTTTGGGACCACACCTGGTGGTGCTCAAGGCTATTTATTTCCTGCTTAGTTTTCAGAGGGTGGTTCCAGAAAGAACCCAAAGGATCATGTGGTCCCAGGGATTGAATCCAGACCTCCCACATGGAAAGCATGTGCTTAGCCTACTGGGATCTCCCCAGTCCTTTGCAAGTTTTTGAAGGGATCTAGGCAAGAGCAGTTGTTGCAGGTAGAGCTAATGGCCAATGTTTAGGCTCAGTGACAGGAACATGCTTGCCACATTGGGGGAATAACAGTTGTCCCCGGCAGAGATCTTGTCAACCAGCTTCCTGCCTGTGAGTCAGGACCCAGGTCTCTAGACCGCCCAGATCTGGCTCTTAGATAATTTGGTTGATCTCTTATCTTCGGCTGTTTGCTGAAGCGGCTTACTTCTTCCTTGCACTTTTCCATCAGGGGACTTAAGTAGCTGACAAATTCAGACACGTGTGTGTGTGTGTGTGTGTGTGTGTGTGTGTGCGCGCGCGCATTTTGACAGTTTTGTATTTCTACCCAGAGTTTGGCCTCTGAATCCATCTAGAATACATTCATTCCTTTCATCTTTCATATATATACCAGCTTTCTAGATTGGAATCTTAGAATTTTTAAGAGAACAGGGCCTTTGAAAATCCTTCAGTGCAGCTTCAGCATGATGGCTGAGGAAGACAGGAAGTGGGGGTCTCTGAGGTCACATATGCTCAGGGTCATGCTGCTTCGTCAATAGAGGGCTGGCTGCATCTACAGCCCACTCTCAGACTTCTTTCTCGGCTACTGCCTCATTTGTATCCCAGGCTGCCCTTAAACTTTAATTGTGGTCATCTTTGTGTGTTCAGGGAATATGGGAACAAACAGTTGTTCCTAGAATTTGGGAATTTTTCTTTTTTTATTTTTAAGTAGAAATTCAAGCAGAAATTTTAACTTATAAACATAATTTTATTTTCTAAAAAGAATTGTCATCAAGTAAGGGTGTTCTCCCACATTTCATAACCTTCTATTTGAGGCTTACTTCCCCTTCCCACACCCCCTTCCATTGATTTAATCCTATGGAAGACTCAAGAGCCACGAAGTTGCCCACAACTGGGGTTAGAAGCTTTGATGTTTGACTTATTCCAGATGAGTTAGAAGAGCAAAAGAACGAACCCAAAAGGAGTTTACCTATTAATTTGCTTAATTTATAAGCATGCATCATTTGTATGTATGGAGATCTTTGTTTCCAAAGGTGTTTTTAAAGTTCTGTGGGTTTTATCACCTTTAAGTAGGATATAGTAATTATAGCAATTTTAAACGTAAGGAGTTGAGTATCTGGCATTTTCCCTGGGCTCCATTCTGACTGGTTGCTTCTGGCATCTGAGAGCAGAACTGAAGACTGAGAGCGGGCTCTCTATTTCTTTTCATGCATTGTCCTGATCTCTTGCATGAGACAAGCAAAAAAATAAGAGTTTTATGATGGTGAAGAGGATGCTTCTATAAGCAGTGTTGACTGTGACGTAAATAAAAGCAAATCATTCTTGTGGATGAAAATTTTACAGACTTTCCCCTAAACATCCATGAATCACTGTCACTGTCACTGTACTCCTGTTATTCATTGATTTGTTCGAGCGGGCCCAGTAACTTCTCCATTGTGACAATTGTTACTGTGTTTGGCTTATCGAATACATCACGGAGAGCTTGCCAGGCTTTGCCGTGCAGGCGAGATACTCTCGGTAGCTTGCCAGGCTCTCTGATAGGGGCAGAGGAATTGAACTTGGGTCGGCCATGTTGGCCGCTTGCAAGGCAAATGCCCTACCCGCTGTGCTATTGCTCCAGCCCCAAACATCCATGAATACCAGAGAATATATTGATTTGTAGTGGATGGAGAGCATTGCAATATTATATAGAGCTTTGAGTCAGGGTTTTTCCAACTTCAGCAACCTTGCTTTCTCAACTAGTGTTAACATTTGAGGTTTGATGATTTGTGTGTGTGTGTGTGTGTGTGTGTGTGTGTGTGTGTGTCTATTCTGCTCATTGGAGGAAGTTTGTCATTGTCATTATGGGCCTCTGGATGCCACATTCTCAACACCTACCCTAAATTTAACACTTAACATCTCAGACATTTCCAGGTATTTCCTGGAAGCTAAAATATACTCTCACTGAAAATCACATGTTCGAATCATTATTAAGGTATTAGGAAATGGTATGGTTTTATGACTCCAGAACTGGCCTCACTGACTTGCCTTGTCGAAAAGCCAGAAGTCCAGGGCATGACTGTGCCCCTTTCTTCTGTGTCCCAGCAGCCACCCTGGCTGCCTAATGGTGTGGCACAGCATCCTTTGTGAACTGTTGCCAAAATAAACTGAGCCCCCAGTGGTGGAAGTGGGAGGGATGGAAGCCTCCCACAAAACACGCAGGAATGTTTTGGTTTGATTCTTCCTCTCCAGGTTTGATTTCATCCTCGATAATGTTGGAGGGTCCACTGAGACATGGGCTCTAAAGTTTCTCAAGAAATGGTCAGGGGCCACATATGTGACACTGGTGACTCCTTTCCTCCTGAACATGGACCGACTGGGCATAGCGGACGGCATGCTGCAGACAGGAGTCACCATGGGCTCGAAGGCATTAAAGGTATGGATGGAGGCCAGTGAGCGGGAGAGAGAGCAGCAGACACCCCCTGCCCTGGCGCTTGGCATCTGCGGGTCGGTTTCCTTCCATTTGTTCAGTTGTATTTTTGCACTACACCCAGCAGTGCTCAGGGGTCACTCCCCATGGTGCTTGGGAGACCACATGTGGCACCAAAGAGTAAACCCAGGGCCTGCTACATGCAAGACAAATGCCCTATTCCCTGTCCCTCACTCTGGTCCCGCTTATTTATTTTCTTGGAGGAATCACCGTTCCGTGATTACAAGCTTGGAATCTGGAGCCGTGCATTGACTGGTTCTGACTTGGGCTTTCACGTCGTGCCCATGTGTTTCCATGTAGCTCCTGAGTAAAGGGATTCTGACTGCCCATTCCTGACTGTGTGTTGCAAGGACTCAATGTAATAATGCACATGAAGGACTCAACACCATACCTAGATCCAAGAAGCCCTTATTACATGTTAGCTTATTATCAGGACCATCGGATTTGTCTGCTGGCTCCTTTCCTGTGCCCAATGACCCTCATCCGGCTTTAACCAGTTTTAATATACACTGTCTCTCCACTTGGAGGTGCTGCTTTATTCCAGGATAGTGTGTCGTTGACTATTATCTTGTCATGGCAGTGGGATGAGTCAGCATCTCCCAGACTGGGACATTTAATGGACTTTTTTTTTTTAATTTCAAAAACCTGGAAGAAATTGTAATTTTCTTCTTGTGAGGCTCTCGCAGCAAAATAGAACAATCGAATGAGTTTTTTTGGGTTTTATTTTGCTCCTGGAATTATATCAGTTTGTCCCATGGACACCTAAACTTCTCACTGTTGATGGCGTTCTGGGAACTCTTGGGGCTTCATGATCTACCAATGCTGTTCTTGGAGCCACTGTTGGCTGGGCTATGGGGAGTTCATACTGCTGAGCATATGCAGTGCAGTGCAGTCTGGAAGGCCCGCACCCCTCGTTCTAGGATGGAGACGGGGACCTTCACCTGCACCCTCCCTGAGGTGGGGCCTGCTTCATCCCCATGGCCACAGGCTTAGGTAATTTTAGGTTTGTTATCCCATTGGTTTGAACTCTGGATTAGTATTAGAATGGAGTAAGTGATGAAAAAATTCAGATAAATTCTATTTTGGCAGGGGTGGGGTGATTTGGGTTACACCCTCCTGTGCTCAGAGCTCATTCCTGACTCTGCTCAGGGATCACTCCCACAAGGACTTTGGGAACCATAGGATCAAATCTGGGTTGGCTGCATCAAGGCGAGTGCCTTAATCTTTGTACTAAATTCTGGCCCTAAATTGGGTTAGTTGGTTTGAGTTTTTTTAATAGAAAAAAACAAAAACAAAAAAACTTCAGACTCTGGAAAAGGTAGCTGGTTGCTCAGAGGTAACAAGGGCTGTGGGTCATCATGTTGCCAGCTAACACTGGTCCGTTTTAGAGAGATGACGGACTTGGTAATGAGTGTCTTCCTGTCAGAAGTGTATTTGTGGGATCCTTTTGGTTGTGATATTTGGAACTGTAGTCTCATGACTCCTAGGTTGCAGATACTCAGAGGTGGTGAGGAAGAGCTCTAAGGAGACCTGGTCATCCCTCAGGATCTGGGTGCTGGGGCAGTGAGAACTTGCCAGGCCTGGACTTGGGGCTACGTGGCTCCCCATGTGATCCAGACACTGGCCAGAGTGTGCAGGGGTGTTTGTTGGTGGAGAGGGAACGCTTAGTGGTCCCCTTTCTCCTCTCTGCCTTGCCACAGAAACCCAGACTCTCCAAGTGCTTTAAAATTAAGGGTTTAAGTTTTCTGTAAGATTTCAGTCTGTATTCCAGCAAGACCAGCTTGCAAGTGAGCCTTCGAAGTTGTCCTCAGAGAGTAAAACAGGCCCAGCGCTCCATTTTTCCTCTCCTCCTGCTTGAAAGTTGATATTAGTAATCTCGTGTGAAAACCTTTCAAGTTGTTTCTGATGTTTTTCCAAGAATGTGCACAATTAAGGCCTCATTGTGAGGCTCCTGACTTGCTTGCTGGCTTCAGTTGGCTCTCTCTGCTTAGTGGCCCAGGGAACACACGCAGACCCCTCCAAGCAGAGTTTGAAAGGTCTGCTCTTGCAGATCCAGGCTTTGTTTCCCTTTACCGGGTGAGATGCTGTGGAGCCATGGTCATCGCTGCTCCTTGAATACCCCAAACAGTTGCCAGACTGTTTTGTCAGAGTCCCTGAGGCTGGGGCCTAGAGGGACACTCGTGAACATGTTTTCTGTGTTAAAATAACTGGATCTGGGATTGGAGCAATAGCACAGCGGGTAGGGCGTTAGCCTTGCACGTGGCCGGCCAGGTTCAATTCCCAGCATCCCCTATATTTCCCTGAGCACCTCCAGGAGTAATTCCTGAGTACAGAACCAGGAGTAACCCCTGCGCAACACCAGGTGTGACCCAAAAAGCAAATAAATAAATAAATAAATAAATAAAATAACTGAATCTGCTCTGCTAGCTGCTGAGTTCACTTCAGTAGCTCAGATCAAGGGCCAACCAAGAAGTGACACAGGGACGGGTGGAGAAGGTTTCTTGGCAATAAGCCAGGAGGTTGGACGATGGCAGGCTCGTGGCCACCACAGATCATCTTGTCTGTCTAGTCACAAGGCAGATTTATAGGGTGGGTGAGGGAGGAAAGAGAGAGAGAGCAGGGTAGCACGTATTCAGGAAGGGCGGGTTACAGACTGGTGGGTGGCAGAATGATCAATAACTTCCCTCCTGGGCTGATCCCTGGAGACACACTTCCGGTGAAACTGCAGATAGAGTTCTGATGGAACCTTCCGGCCTCTTAGTCTGTAGAACAAGATAAGGGGGATTTTCTTGACATTGTCAGACCTCATTGCCCAGGCAGGGTTTTTGGGAATTCAGCTCTTCATTTCTTGGGGGATGACTTCAATATAAACTGTCTACTTCACTATACTTCACTGGGAGAATCTCAGTGCTTACTTTGTAAAATTTTAGTCATTTTTGCCTTTTATTTTTATTTTTTAATTGCAACTTAATTTTTTTTTTTAATTTTGGGGCCATTTTCATGGATGCCCAGGGCTTGCTCCTGGCTCATATCATTTCTGGAAGGGCTTGGGGACCATATGTGGTATAAGGGATCGAACCAAGGTAGGCCACAAACAAGGCAAGTGCCTTCACCCTTTTACTATCTCTCTGGTCCCATAGTGTCTTTAACACATTTGACAGTGGTGCTTAATTTGTGCAAATTAAGCCATGTTCAAGTGTGAGCCACTGGTGGTAACTGCTAGGGTCAAGTTGTTAAGCTCTGATTTAGTACTGTGCCTGTCTTTCCCGAAAAGGCTTTACTTTCGGCACTGCATCTTAATTACTGGGTAACAATTTCTATGTAGCAGGCACTTTATGTACCTTCTCATCTAGTGCTTCCAGCAACCCTTGGGTGATGGTGTCACCATTCTACAGGCCCAAGAGAGGCCCGAGAGAGGTAGCTTAACTGGAACTGCACAGCTGTTAAGAGCCAGAGCTATAGGAGCGGGGCACTTTGATCACATTTGCTGGCTTCATGCCCTCGTTCTGCAGAGGGATCATGAGTCTGAGGCTGAGCTCACCCAGCCTCTGCATACGGCTGCCCCTGGAGTGGAGCTGTTTGCTGCAGCTGGGGGTGCGGGGATTGAGGGGCTTGGCTAGCACGAGGAGCGTGGCAGAAGAGTGGTCATGGTGTGAGGTGTTTGCTTGTCTTTAGCTGGGACAGTTGATCCCTTCATAGATGAGGTAGCTTGACACTAGCTGTAACTGGAGGGGGGAAACCCAGCTATGACGCCTGAGGAGCTTTGAAAGACATAAGGCTGTGTTGCCATAATGCCGGCGCATTGCTCTGAGCCAGGAAAATCAGTTGTGACTGAATTTCTTGTTTAAGCTCCTGTTTGGGTACCTTATTACAGCTCCAGAGGTCTAGAGTTAAGTAAGAAAGCCCTTTTCTGGTTCCTGTGAACTTCATTTCACCTTAACAGGGAAAGCCCAGGATGGCTTAGTCCCTGATTTCTCCCGGAGAAGTTCAGTGTGTAAGACTCCTTAGACCGTCATTTTAAGGAGAGTTTTCCAGTGCTTCCTTGCTTGTCAGTCACGACTGGATGAAGACACTGGAGCTTGCATGTATAAATCTTCGTTCATTTTTCTTTTCATCAAATATTTATGGAGCGCCCATGCGTCAGTCACCAGGCTAAGGTGCTGGGCATGCGACTCAGCATGTCAGCATGGAGTAGGAAATTGGTTTGTCTGCATAAGTCATCCAGAAAATAACACCTCCTTACATTTGCATTGAGTCTGACCGTATTCTTCCCTTTGTTTGACAAGTCTTGTTTTCTTCCTTTCAGCATTTCTGCCAAGGAGTCCATTATCGCTGGGCTTTTTTCATGGCCAGTGGACCATATCTCGATGACATCGCGAAGCTTGTGGATGAGGGGAAGGTATGTGCAAACCAATGCATTGCTGGAGTATTCCTGTAACATTGGCAAACCATCCTTCCAGCCCAGAAAACGGAAACTCTGTCAAAGCCAGAGTTTGCTGCCTGATGGGAACAAGTCTAAGGACTGTAGTTTTGCTTCTGTCTCCATGGGAATCATCCCTGGAGACTGCTGTGTCTGAAAAAGCTTTTACCATCCAGTCCAGCATTTCCCAAAGTAGGTCATCCTGCCTCCTGGGTGGGCAGCAGCAACGGTGGGAGGTCAGGAGTGTGCTGGAATGACCCCAGGTGTGACAGAAGCCTGAGGACCTGAGGTGCACTGGGGGTGAGATTTCTTATCGTTCACTTAAAGAAGGCAAACTGCCAGGGGGCTACTGAGTAATTTTTTTCTGAAAAGGGAGGCAGTAAGTCAAAGTTTGGGTACCTCTGGTCAAGTCCGGTGGTTGGTTCATAGATGAATGAAGAGGCAGGTTCAGATGCTTCTCTATGGTTCTCCTAAAGACACTGGGCCGGGCAGGTAGCAGGGCTGGGATCTGCAGCTGGGCAGCCGGTAATTTGATAATGGTTCTGAGGGCAAAGCCTCACGCAAGCCATTCTGTTCCTCCCTGTACAAAGAGGGAGGAACGTGTGCGTTTCTCAGCCTAGTGTTTCAGGAGCACCATTTTTCTGAGGTAAGTGGATTCCAGCTGAGGCAGAACAGTGTGGGATCTCAAGCCCAGCAATACGGGATCAATCAGCATCCAGATCTCCCATTTCCAGATGAGAGTCCTAAAATCCACTGTGGCGGTGAGAGGGTCTGGACTGGACACAGTGGGCCCGGCTGGAATGTGGCGCCTGTATATCTGCCTGCCCGTGTCTGCCCTGTAGGGACTTCGGGCAGGAGGAACTGAGGATAGTGCTCTTATCCCTCTCATGGTGTCAAAAAGCTTTTCAAGGTTGCTGGGGATAGAAAGAGTTCCCATCTGTTGCCTTCCATTCCATTCCCGGAAAAAGAGCGCAGAAGTAAACTCATGTTCTGGTGCTGTCGTTGATGAGTTTACTGAGATGATATAGAATTACAGGATAAAGAACCTTCTGGACCCTCAAGGATTGCACAAGATCTTTATTAAAATGGTTTAATAGATGAAAAAACTAGCAAAGGAGATAAAAAAAAAAAAAGGGGGGGCACATTTGCCAGAACTCCTGACTCTGAGCCTCGGCTCTTCCCTCTCTCCAAGGTGCAGCTGAGTTCTGAGGCTCAAGGCTCTTAAGTTGCCTTACTGTTTCACAGTAGTTGGGGATGGGGGGACAGTGGTCTGTGTCTCCACTGCATGATTCCAGCTACGCCTGGAAAGAGTCCCCAGAGACAAGCTTTTTCCTCCTGGCGTTTGCCCCTTGCTGGCTCACTTTACCTTCCCATTTTGATTTTGGAAAGAATTATTTTAGGAACTTCTGGACTGAGTTTGTTGTTGTTGTTGTTGTTGTTGCTGCTGCTGCTGTTTGTTTTAAATTCTTTTTTGCCACGTTGCTGTGTGATAGAAAATGGCCTGCTCCTGTTCCCCCAATTTTGTGCATTTGTACATCTTTTCTCAGGGTCCAGAGTAGCCAGGGGCCCAGCCATACATGACTGTAAGGGCCCCTCTGTAGGATTTTTTCCTCTCAGGAGTGCATACTTGAATTTCAGTCAAGAAGTAAAGTCGCCCTCAAAATGGCTTATAGTTCTGCTTAGTGTTTTGCATGCTTGGAACACCATTTTCAACCCACCACTCCTACTCCCGTCCTCCCAAAGCATTTTGTGCCACTGGGCTTGTCCTGATGTCTACTCCAGGCTCTCTACATGCTTACCACTGCTCTTCCGTATTCAAAATATTGTGAGTCTCCCGCCCTCCCTGGAAATGACTGTTTATGCAACAGAAAAGTGTCTCTGTGCAGCTCCCCATTTAAACCTGGCAGATAACTGATAGAATGACAGAGAACAGCATCCCCTGAAGGGTCCTTAAGGGTGTGTGAGGAAATGGTCCTTTACCTTTGATTCTCTAATCTCCTAACCAGGCTTTCCTAAGCTCAGGAAGCATTTCTGACAGGACTATGCCACAATAGGCGTGGATATGTGACCCAGATGCCCAGTTGAGGTCAGCCGCTTTTAAGCCCTCTCATCTCTCTGGGGTGAGAGGCCACGGCCTGTCTGCCCAGGAAACGGGGCAACAGACCAGATCTACCTGTGTGTGGTTAAACACAGCCTGCTAACTAGGATGAGGGCATTGGCATGCTTCCCCACGTGGTCTGAATGCTCAGTGAATAATTAGCAGGTATCTGATGGAAGAGCTTCGGTTGTTATTTGATAGTAATTCCAAAGTGCCCACTTCAAAATAAAAACACTTTCAGCATTTGAGTAGAAAGTATCCAGAACCCAAAAAGTAGGGAAAGTTATTGAACTCTTCCTGTGACTCCTATCTCTCAGCCGCTGAGATTCTCCTTGTCAAATTCAACCAATCTCACCAGTGTCTTGGGAATTTCAAGTTTCAAAGATGTTCTATGTAGCAACACAAAAATGTTTCATATTTTTGTTACAACTATATAATGTATATCTTCTACAATTATTGACATATATACAAATAAGGTATAGACATATACTTTTATAATTATATATGACTGTAAATAGGGTTTTTTTTCTTCTAATTCATTCAGTATAGAGATCGAATATATATTTTCTTTCCTGATATTTTACTATACTCATAATTTCTATTAGACTTTTTTGGGGGTGGAGTCATTAGTGTTTTCTATATATATTATCATATCTATCATATGTAAATAAATTAGCACAGCGGTAGGGCATTTGCCTTGCACGCAGCCAGCCCAGCCGAGCCGGGTTCGATTCCTCCGCCCCTCTTGGAGAGCCTGGCAAGCTACCAAGAGTATTCAATATGCCAAACACAGTAACAAGAAGTCTCACAATGGAGACGTTACTGGGCCCGCTCGAGCAAATCGATGAACAACAGGAGGGCAGTCTCTTTTGATCTATTACATTTCTGTGGCATCAGTTGTAATTTTGCCTCTTTCATTTCTGATTCTCTTAACAAGGGGTTTCTCTCTATTTTTCCTTAATGAACCTATCTAAGGGTTTTTCAACTTTATTCTTTCCAAGAACCAGCTGAACTTCTGTATTCCATTTTTAAAGAGCTGTTAAAAAAACAGTAGTGTACGGATTGGGGAAATAGTACAGTGGATAAGGCAATTGTCTTGCATGTGGCTGACCTGGATTTAATATCATACATCATATATTGGTCCCCTGGGTACCATGCAGAGTGATACTTGAACACAGAGCCCGGAATAAGCCTGAGACCACCAGATGCTGACCAAAACCAAAACAAACAAAAGAAGACAACAATGTAGACCATGCACAGTCTGTGAAGTCTAAAATATTGTAGCCCTTTCCCCCCAAAAAAGTTTCTAATCTTTACCTTAGACTATCAGTTACTTTTAGTGTATTTGTTCAATTACCCCTTTCAACCATGCTCTGTCTTTGGCAACTACTGGTCTATTCTTTATTCTGAGTTAGACTGTGTAGTATTTGTCTTTCTCTTAATAGCATGCTTCCAAGATCCACCCAGGTTGTTGGAATTGATAGGATTTCCTTCCTTCCTTCCTTCCTTCCTTCCTTCCTTCCTTCCTTCCTTCCTTCTTTCCTTTCTATTGCATATGCAATCATATCAGATTGTCTTTGTTCATTCATCCATTCATTTCTTACACTCCTTGGCTCCTGTACATTAATTATATATTAATGCTTTGTAATAATAATGCACTACATATGAGGTATAATGAGCAAATCTGTTCCAGATCATGATTTTATTCCTTTTTGAATAAATACCCAGAAGGGGAATCTCTGGATTCATTTTGTAATTTTATTTTATTTTTTTAGTGATGTAAAATCATTTTAGTTAGATAAATTTGCTAGAGATACATGAAGGAGGGTGGAGAAAGAAAGAGAGAGCTGAGAGCGAGAGCACAAGAGCGAGGTGCGTGTGTAGAGGTATTCGGGAGAACTCGGGCTTCTTGAGGGCCAGGAGAGCGCCTCGCGCAGCCTCGGGTCAGGATGCAGGCCATCTCCCCTGCGGCAAAGGCGCCTCTGGGTTTAATTGTTGTGGGAATTTCCATGCTGCTTTCCACAGGCTGCCCCCATTTACATTTCCACTGTGCCAGCACAGGCTCCATTTTCTCCGTGCTCTCACCAGCACTTTGTTCTGCTTTTGAAATCTTATTCTAACTGCCCTAGTGTGTTCTCACTGTGGGTTTGGATTTGTATATCCCCTTTGATCACCAATGTTGAGCACCTTTTTAATCACCTGATCCCCCTGGACTTTTGTATGTCTTTGAGGGAGGGTGGGGGTGGAATGCCTATTCAGATGCTCTGCCCACTTTTATCTATTTATTTGTGAATTCATGTTTGTTTGGGACCACACCCAGTGGCCCTTGGGGGTCCTCCCAGTGCAGTGCTCAGGAATGACTCTCCCGTGGTGCTGGCTTATGCAGGTGCCAGAGATGGAACTTGGGCTCAAGGCCTCACCTACCTCCTAACACTAGCTCACTAGGTCTCTGCCCCACCCACCAAGGAATCCTGGGCTTGGGGACTGCAGTTTGATAACAGCTGTCCCCAAGGATCTCAAAAGAAAGATTTTTCTGGAGCTGGGGATGTAGCTCAGTGGCCAATCACTTGCCTTGCCCATGGGAGGGGCTGGTTTGGTCTCTGGAACGGAAGAAACAAAAATAAAAGCATGATTTTTTTTTCATTAGCACTGTGAGTGTAATGGGCGGTTTCTAAAATGGGTACTTGTGCCTACAGTTTCCTGGCATTTTCTCTAAACACAATACATGTTTCCTGTTTTTCTACCAAACTAGTTTGGGATGAAGCACAAGGGCCTGGCGCAGAAATTCACGAATCACGACCATCCTGTTATTCGTCCATTGCCTCAAGCAGGCCCCAGTAACGTCTCCTTCATCCTAGCCCTGAGATTTTTTTAAAAGGTGCCATATTCAAGGCTCTTTCAGGGTTAGGAGAATGAGACCCATCATTGTTACTGGTATTTGGCATATTGGGTACGCCACGGGGAGTTTGCCAGACTCTGCCGTGTGGGCAGGTTACATTCGGTAGCCTAAATTATATTCAGCCAAACACGCACCATTGATCCACTGTACCAGAAGACTGGGAACTGGGAACCTAGCCCCTGTTGAGTTGGTTCTCACCTTCCCCCAACCCCATCATGCCACTGTGTCACATTTGAAAATCCTAAGTCTAACCCTAAGAGATTCAAGGACAAGTTCAGGGTCATGTAGCCAGGTAGGTCCCAGGTCTTTGGCCACTAGGACAGTTTCTTTCACCATCTTTTGCTCTCTGCAAATAGAGATGGTAAGCTGGGGAGGGAGCTCAACAGGTTGAGCCATGAGCTGCATGCAGGGGGCATGGGTTTGACCCTCTGTGCCACGTAGTCCCCTAAACACAGGAGTGGGCACCAAGCACTGTGCCAGGAGTAGCCCCTGAGCACTACTGGTTATGACCAAAAATATAAACAAATAAAAATTTTAAAAAATTAATGGAGGGGTCAGAGAGAATACAGCAAGTAAGGCACTTGCCTTGCACATATCTGACCTGGCTTTGGTCCCTGGCACCACATATGTTCCCCGAAGCACAGCCAGGAGTGATCCCTGAGTACAGAACCAGGACTAAGCCCTGAGCACCACAAAAAAAAGAAAGAAAGAAAGAAAGAAAGAAAGAAAGAAAGAAAGGGAATTAGTAGTGTTTTAAAAAGAAATTTGCCTAGTGGCCGGAGTGACAGTACAGCCGGCAGGGCATTTGCCTTGCATACATCTGACCCAAATTCAATCTCTGGCATCCCATATGGTCCCCCAAGCACCATCAGTAGTAATTCCTGAGTGCAGAGCCAGTAGTAATGCCTGAGCATCGCTGGGTATGACCCAAAAAGAAAAAAAAAAAGAAGAAGAAATTTGCCTACAAAATTCCTCTTCTAGTATTTCTCAGTACTTTTCGGTACTCAGGCAGGATTGTCCACTTAAAACTCATCGTCTGCACCTGAGTCCTGCCAGCGAGGCCTTCCTTGGCACTGAAAGGAGAGCCAGGTGCTCTGCACACGGCCAGTGCCTCCAGGCCTGGAGGGAAGGAGCGGGCTCTGTGGTACAGGAAGCCACTTTAATGCATTCTGGTCTTTTAGTGGGAAAGGCAAGGTGGTCTCTTCCACCAGCCGGCTCGACCCCATGCACAGGCGCAGCTGCGTTGCGGAAGACAGCAGTTTCGCTGAGCTTACTGGGAAGTCCCATGGTTTATTGAATTCAGGTATCTAGGGGTAGATGGAGGAATGCCAGCGAAGGAAAGCCTCTGTCCCACAGCGGCCACAGTCTCTGGAGGCTGGGTCCCTGGTTGGCATGACTGCTTAGCATGGGGCAGGCCAGGAAAAACAGGAGCTATGATAAGGCTTGCCCTCCCCTGAAGATTTTCGGGAGCAGCAGATCAGTGCACAGAGAGAGAACCCAGCCTAGTCGCTCAGCACCCATGCATCCCTGGGCAGCCTTCATTTCTTTCTCATGAGTTTTGAGAGGGCCATACCCAACAGTGCTCAGAAGCTACTCCCAACCCCTGTGTGTTCAGTGCTTGCGGGACCATGCAGGGCCAGGAATCAAATCCACAACAGGTGCTCAGTGAGCTGTCTCCCTAGCCCAACGCCTTCATTCCTGTATCTGTAAAATGGGGATAATAGCAGCTGCCTGGTAACGTGGTTTATAGGGATCAAACAAGATAACAGAGAGAGAACACTCTCTAGCACCTAACCAAGAACAATCCATGCAGGCTGTTAACTGTTTTGGGAGGTGGAATGGGGAGAGATGGAGGGTTTGGGTCACACCCGGCGATTTTCAGGGCTTACTCCTGGCTCTGAGCTCAGGGATCACTCCTGGTGAGGCTCAGGGCACCGTATCAGGTGCTGGGGATCAAAGTCGGGTCAACTGTGTGTGCAAGGCTGATGCCCTGCCTGTGAACCATGGTCTCCAGCCTAAGCTGTTAATTTTTATTAAGAGCCCACCGGAACTTGTGAACCCAGAATAGAAGGGGACTGTTAGAGTCAGGTAATTTTCTGTTGTGTGGGCTATGGAATTCACTCCGAAGGAAGGAATAGCAGGGGCATCTAAGTGCTACAAAAGGACTTCTCTTGTAAAGGAACTGGGTCATAAGCCATCTGCACCTGCTGCCTCCTGACAGCAGACCTCTGGGAGACAGACCACTAAGATGCAGCTGGCAGTGATTGACATTTCCCTGATGATTTGAAAAAGAAGAGTTCCGTGGGGGGTGGTTTTCACACCGAGAGGGCACCAGTAACAGGATTTCATTTTCAACAAAGGTTGCTGAGGGTCCTGGTTCTGGTGGTGCAGTCAAAAAACGTGGTGCATTCATGTATGAGCTGCGTACCTTGGGTCTCGAGGGTTCTAGCCAGCTGCTGCTGCTCAGCAGAACCTCCTAGGGCTGAAGAAGCTCAAGGAGCCCACAGCAGCCAGTTGCCTCCCACTTACCTTAGCGGTTGAGAAAACCTCCGAACATCTGTGCAGCTCTTGCTCTGGGCCGGGTGCTGAGCCCTGCACTGTGTGGCTTGGAGAAGAGGAGGCCCATTCTCCACCACAGATGTTCTGCTTGTTTGGTGGAACACCTGGGCAGGGTGGGCATGTGAAAGGGCTGCTACACCTGTTGATGCTCCAGTGTCCACGGAGGATTGAACCCTGGTTAGCCACTGGGAAGGCAAGCGTCTGAGCTCCAGAACTTTCTCTCTGACCATCGTAAATAGTTCAGATGCTGTGCGCGGGCTGTGGAGTAGCTGGAATCCTGGCACAGCCACTCTTGGCATTTGCTGTATTATCCGGCTAGATTTGTGCTTGGCCAGAACAGGCGTCTGTCTGTGAGGGAGAGTTGCTGAGAGCAGTGGCAAGAGAGAGTACCCAGGCAGAGGTCAGTAGAAATTTGAGGCAAGGCACGGACACATCAGATTCCCACAGCGTCAGGGAGGCTGTTCCAGCAAAGCCCACTCAGAGGGGCTGTGAGAGGGCTGGGGGTGGCCTCTGAAGGCTGCTTTGGGAGCTACTGAAGGGTTATGAAACAGGACGTGCCACAACCAGCTTGAGGCAGAGGAAAGACTGAATGGGACTGAGTGGGCTGCTGACTTGGAGGTGCACGGGGCATGTTAGAGGCAAGCCCCTGGCCTGGCGCGGGAGAGCAAGGGATCCCGAGGAACGCTGTGATGGAACCAGGCAAGGGGGTTCTCAGCCCTGTCAGAGGCGGGTTCTCTTCACCACCTGTCTGTCTCCTCTCATCTTTTCCAGATCCAGCCGGTTATCGAGAAAACCTTTCCTTTTTCTCAAGTTCCAGAAGCCTTCCTGAAGGTGGAGAGAGGCCACGCGCGCGGGAAGACGGTGATTAATGTCGTATGAATAAACGCTAGATGGTTGGCGAGTACCTTGTAGATGCAGACTTCTTACCTGGGCTCGCCCTTTCCGGATTAGCCCGTAAATGACCATATAAATGTAAACAAATGAGTTTTTTGCCAGTCACCTCCTATCTTTCGAATGGGGCAGAGGGGGTCACATGGCCACAGGCCACCCCGGCACTTCCTTGGGCCCTGCCCAGTGAGCTGCTTCATTCCCGCTGGCCACCAGGATGGTGGGGGGGACACAGGAACGAGAGACAACACAATCATCCCAACTAGCTGCACTTGAGCGAGTGCATAAAGTCAAGAAGAATTGCATCTCCCATCTTTGAAGCTCTTCTTTCATACCTTGTTGGACAGTGGCCATGGCTTCTTTTCAGGTAGCTCAAACTCTTTTTTTTGGGGGGGGGGGTCACACCCGATGATGCACAGGAGTTACTCCTGGCTCTTCACTCAGGAATTACTCCTGGCAGTGCTCAAGGGACCATATGGGATGCTGGGAATTGAACCCGGGTCGGCCGCTTGCAAGGCAAACGCCGTACCCACTGTGCTATCGCTCCAGCCCCATTTATTCTTAATGTATGAGAAGGAAACTTTGGGCCAGCAGAGGACGACAGCATGGCAATCACTCACAGCTATTTCCTTCTAGGGTATCCTAACTGGCTGTTTGAAGTTTGGTTTTCCCCTGCTCTAATGTGGTCCCAAGAGCCTGCCAAGCTCTGAATCTCTAAAGGGAATGGATACAAATATGGTAACCTGTTTGTTGTTCTTTGCTTTTTTGGGTCACACCCAGTGATGCTCAGGGGTTACTCCTGGCTCTGCACTCAGGAATTACTCCTGTCGGTGCTTGGGGGATCATATAGGATGCCAGGGATTGAACTCGGGTCAGCTGCGTGCAAGACAAATGCCCTATCCTCTGTACTATTGCCTCGGCCCCCTGTTTGTTTTTTAACTCTTAGTAACCAAATTTAATGCAAAATTTAATTTTTTTTGGGGGGGGGGAGTGGGGGGTGGCCACACCCATGGAGCTCAGGTAACTCCTGCCTCTGCACTCAGGAATTACTCTCTTCAGTGGTTGGGGGATCTGGGATCAAACCTAGGTTGGCTGTTTGCATGGCAAGTACCCTACCTGCTGTACTACCTCTCCAGTTCCTAATGTGAAATTTTAAACTTGGGGAAAAAAATTGAACACTTTGCATAAGGTCTGGCCCTTTTCAACTACTAAAACATGATTCTCAGAAGGCTTGTGCACAGCAATGACAAAGGCCCCAGTTACTGGATTAGTCAGAATTTTCCCGTTTGTAACTGTCACTGTCTGCACCTGGGTATCCCATGCTGTTCAGGCCATGGCAGCCCCTGTTGCCACTGTGGGCTTAGTCGTTGACGGGCTGTGTCTCCTTGGTACCCAACCTCATCATCAAGCCTCAGACACTCAACTTAGGATTTTGCTAGAGAACTATTATGAGTCACTTTCTACTTGGTTTCTTCCTGTTCACCCCTGGTGGTGCACTGGCTGACCGCCTTGCTTCAGGATTACTGAGCTGGCTAACAAAAGTTTATCTCAAAAGAAATTAATTTTTTTTCTAGCCACTTTTGCCTGCCCTCTGAGCAACTTCAACCCTTTTATCTCCCTTTGGTGGGATTGCTTGGGATGAGGGGTGCAGTTTTCGCTTAGCTTCTGGGCCACACTGCCAAAAGAGAAGCATACCTGTCCCCAGGCATCTGGAAAGGGGTGAGCCCACTCTCCTCAAAAACCCACTTCCTCCTCCTGATTAGAAACAGTTGTTCCTAATCTTCCAGCTGACCCTCTTTGAAAGGTTATGAGAGCTACTGAATGGACTTGGATCAGATTTCATCAACACGGTTAAACCAGAAACAAGTTTATTAAAGAGAAAAATTTAACACAGACTATTGTAAAATGTCTTCCCACTGTGATAATACACACAGAGGCCTACGATCAGAGCTATACATCTAAGGAAAAGGCAGGCCTGTGGGCTGTGTTGTACATGTGCAAATGTTACTTCAAAAGGAAAGAAACAACTCCAGTGACCATAACTGCTGACCAGAATGCAGAGACAACGTGTAGAATCAGCAACACATTTTGGGACAGATGATAGGGAAACGTGATTTGTTCTTCCTGTGAAAGAGCATTCAGTATTCAGTGGCTAGGACAACAAAATGAAGACAAAAAGGGAAAGAGTGTACACAAAATCCAAACTGCTCGCTTGAATACAGGTAGACAGTACCGGTGTGCTATCAGCAGCCAAACAGAATCCGTGTTCCATGTAACGCTTGTTCCACACTTTCCAGCTGACCAACAGGCATCCCCTACAGCTTCCTTTCTTCATTTCTTGGAGATCACTGCTGGTGTTGCTCTGGAGTGAGCACAGGGTGCTCTGCCCCGAGGCCTGAAGTCGTCCTGCCAGCAGGCAGGGACTGACCATCCCATACAAGGCAGCTCCTGCAGGCCTTGTACTGAGGGAGCGGGACAGGACAGGAGGAAATTGGGCTGAAAGACCTGAGTCTGTCAAGGACGAAGGACGGCGTACCCACTGCTCCAGAGCTGAGGTGAGCCAGGCTGGACTAACCAGTGAGGTCCGGTTAATACTGATCCAGAATCTCCACAAGAAAAGGGTTGAACATGCATAACATCTCAGGGCAGCCCACAGGGGAGTGAAAAGAATCCAGATCCTTCTGACAGAGGTTAGCAGACATGAGCATGAAATCTTTCAGACTTGCTAATATTGTAATATTAACGGAAAGAAAGTGACATTTCATTTGTTCCTTAAAATATGTCTCAGTATAAGGCTTTCCCTACCTACCTACACAGTGCAGTTCCAGAAAACTTAAGGCCAGCCAAGGATCAAAATTAGACCCAGTCAGTTATTTCTTCTCAATGCTGAACAGTCTTCTCTAGTTTACCAGCTAGCGGGATCTGTTGGTCCATAAAGCTGGTAGATTTCTTCCTCTTTCTCTCCTCTCACTCCCTTTAAACATAATTTTCTAAATGTACATAATCTTATAAAGCCTTGGTAGAATGTTATTTTTACAACATCCAAAGTCCTAATTAGGCATCCTCCTTAAGCAGCTACTGAAAGGAAATGAAAGGCAAGTAGTGAAAGAAGGACAAACAAACGATGGGCAGTGGTGAGAGTCTTTGGCAGGACACAGTGCCGGTCCGGGTGGCAGCACTGTGGTCGCTGAGTGAAACCAGAGCCACGGAGGCAGGAGATCACATTCCCCGGGCTCTCCTTCTCGCTGTCCTTTTGTACTTTAAGCTGTCCAGAAGCACCGCCAGAAGTACTCCTCCTGCGTCCTCCTTCCGGCCTATAGAACGATGGCTTCCCACATTTGAGTGACCTTCTCATGGTTGACTGTGTTGAGGATGATGTGACTCTGATCGTACTGTGTTCCCCCTGAAAGAAAAGTGATCAGAGGAAGCCTGTGTGGGTGGAGGGAGGGCGGACCCAGATAACCAGAATAACTGGAAGCAGCAAGCTGGGCTATGTACCTCATGAACACACACACACAAACACAGTGTCTTGGGGCTCCTTTCCCTGCACGGGTATGCCAAGCTAGACAAGATATGCTGCCTAAAGTCCCAGTGAAAAATCCCTTTAGCTTGTCCCCCTTATACACACACATACACACACAGTGTCCTGGGGCTCCTTTCCCTGCACAGGTATGCCAAGCTAGACAAGATATGCTGCCTAAAATCCCTGTAAAAATCCCTTCAAATTACCCCCCCTCCTTACACACACACACACACACACACACACACACACACACACACACGTGTGAGCTGCATCCTGGGGCTCCTTCCTCTGCACGCAGGTATGCCAAATTAGACGGAATATGCTGTCCGAAGTCCCAGGAGGAGAGCAGGTGGCCTGAGCGGGGTGGAATGGGTGTGTGCGGAAATGGGTTTTGCATGGAACCGGCTGACCAGTCAGAGGTGGCTGCATGAGACCACTGTGCATAAGTCTTCGATGAAAGGGGACTGTGTCACCAGCAGCAGACCCGCTGTCCCTTCCTCAGGGTCACCACACTGCACTCACTGGGATTCCCTGAACCCTCTCTTTCAGCCACAGGTCTTCCTTTGTTACTCAAGACCCTTCTTTGTTCTTTCAAGATGGGAGTAATTTGGTGTGCTTCTTGTAGGTTATTATCATTCTGATTGGGAAGCCTAAAAGTTGTTAAACGATCTGCCTTTGAGAAGAATTAAAATGTATTTTTTCCAGGGGGATTGGGGACCACAGGCAGAGATACTCAAGGAGAACGTTAGGGATTGAACCCGGCCTCCTGCACGCAGAGCATGTGCACAAGCCCTCTGAGCCCACCAGCCCCGTGCTAGACTGCTGGTGTTTCCAAAGTGAGCGTGAATCAGCTTCCACCGCTGCCATGGAGGTCTGGGATAATGCAGGAACGTCCACCCCAAAAAAACTCATCTCCCAAATACTGAGAAGGCACAGGGTCTAATAAATCTTAAAGAGATACTAGCATATAACAAACGGTTTGATGAGGCAGCTAATAAAAATCAGAGTTTATTAAGGGCTACAGGGACCATGTGTCTATATTTCCCTTGTAGGTTATGTGAGGTGTATGGCCTTAATCTCCATGTCCACAAGATGGCATCATTCTACCACATTCTGAGACGTTTACATTCCGCTCTCGTTCTAAATGTACACATACATGAGACTAAGCATTTAAGGTACTCCTCCAATTGTGGCACCTAACAGCTGGCGCGGAGCCTTGTCAGAGTGAATACCAGCAAATAAAAGCTATAGGAAGGCAGAGATGCTCCCACAGTGGCTTTCATCCTACACACAAGCCAATCAACGTTGTAAGAAACATTCATGTTTTCCCCCAAATCCAGAATATTTCCAACTTTGTCACTTTTTAAGCTTTTCTAGAAAATTGAAAGGCTAGCCTCTCCAGGTGGGGCAGGCTGAGATCAAATTCATAAAGGATGGGGAAACAGCTCAATGGACGGGCACACGTGCTTTGCATGCTAGATGCCCGGTTGAATCCCTGGCACTGTATGACTCCCCCCACCCCCTAAGCACCACTGCGTATGATCCAAAAATCACACATAAAAAATCTGAAAAATACTAATCAAGGTTAATGATTCTTAACCAGTTTGACCTCAAGCTGATGTCTGTAAAATGGGTATTTTTACCTGTCTACATTCTGGCAAATCTTTTATCAGAATAAGTATACCAGATATAATATGAAGGAGGAAGCCTTCTGTCGCTCTTCATTTTTGGATGCTGCATTTATTTCCTTCTATCCACGGACCCCACTGACATTTCCTACCATTTCTGGTCCCCATTCTGCTTGGAGTTACATGTTTATCTGTGCTCCCTAAATTTATAGTGCTCTTTGCCCCCCCAAAACTTCTTCAGTTCGCCCCTGAACACCTTTTCAGTTCCTTGGGTTCTCTACAAATGTTCATTAATCTCATTGCTAAGTGGGGTTCGCCACTCTGTACCCAGAATCACCGAGAAGCCTCAGAGCCAGTTCCCTCCCCCTGCTGTCATCAAAGCTCCATGGAAATGCTCAGGCTTGTTTGCTATTATTGAGAAACAGTGTTTTAAAACCAGGCTGCAGCTGTTCCTTGACCCCTACACCTTAATTTCTGAAAATAGCTTTAGCCAAAAGCATTGATTAAATGTTGAGTCAACTTTCTAGCAATGATTTAAAATAGAACATGTATGGCTAGTAATATTAGCTCACCAGATTTATCAAAATAATTATGCTTGCTTTCATGGTAGGAAAGAGAAAAGTTTCTACCAATAATCTAAAGCAAAATTATGTCATAAGTTGAAAAAAATCTTCATTTGTTTCTTGACAAGAACAAGAGTTTACTGAGTTCCAACATCTAGGTCGAGTGAGATTTATTACCTTTTGTCTTATTCTGTATTTTGGATCACACTCAGCAGTACTTGGGGGATCATGTGGTGCTGGGACTGAGCCCAGGACTCCTACATGCAAAGCATGTACACTCCCGACCACTGACTGGCTTCTCTCCCTTGTTTTTTAATTCTATTTTTTTATTTTGCTTTTTGGGTCATACCCAACAATGCTCAGGGGTTACTCCTGGCTCTGCATTCAGGAATTACTCCTAGTGGTGCTTAGGGAACCCTATGGGATGCTGGGAATCAAACCTGGGTCGGCCACCTGCAAGGCAAACACCCTAACCACTGTACTATCACTCCAGCCCATTTTTTAAGTTTTAATAGTTTTTCCAACAACTATAGTCTATAGATCAGAAGCATGAGCACCAAGTGGGAACTTGTTATAAATGAAGATTCCCAGGTCCCACTTCATACCTACTTAATCAGAGAAATGTGTGGAAGGTCCCAGAAAACTTTCAGTAAGCCTTCCTCCCCCCCCCCCCCCCCCCCCGGTTCTCGGTTCTGATGCAGATAAAGTTTGGGAACTATTGACCTAAATTCATTCCTCCTCACACACTGGATTAATTTTCCCTGAATTGACTTCTCTGAACAATGTTCACTTGGAATTTCTCTTGGCTGTGTGTTTTAAGATCTGAGATCCTTTCAGAGGCTATGTGCATATACATGACAAGCAGCTCTCCTGTAGAAGATCATACAGGCTTTGACAATGGTTAAACATTTGAAATGGTTTGAAGTTGGCACTTAAGCATGTGGCAAATGATTGGCCTCAGTCTTTAGAGCTGTAAAAGGGGGCAGGGTAGGAAGGGAGAATACTATCCTCTAGAAGTGTCTGTGAAGTCCACCTGGGCTATGGGACATAAGGTGTTTAGCACAGAGGCCAGCCTGAAACGCGGGAAGGCTCACTTATCGTAACTGTGCATGCAAAAATTAGAGATCAATTTCTGGCTAACCAATGAAAGGTAAAATATAAAGCAAATGACTCTTACCTTTGATATCTAAAACTAGATTGGGCTTCATCTTGCTATAGATTCTGCCATCTGACTTCATACTCCAAAACTGACTCTCGGCGTTCTGGTCGAGGGCCAGGCCCAGCTTCGAGCCTGAGGTGACGAGGCTCCCCACGATCGTCAGGCAGCAGTCTTCTGCTATCTGCTCAGTGGGAGAGATGAGCCACCTTAGTGCTGGAGACACAGGCAGGGACTACTGTAACCGATTCCCTGATCTTTTCTAGCTTCACGTACCACACACGAGGGGTTTTAGCATCCAACTAAGATAGCTGCACTCAAACAATAACACCTACACCCTTTATTTCAGAGGACTTGCGTGATGGAGCTTTCTCAATTACTGTCCCTCAAAAGTAAATTTTGCTTCAAAGACTCTTCTTTGTCTTACTGGTAGGTACAAAAAATGCCCTCCATGGGGCCAGAGTAATAGCACAGCGGGTAGGGTGCCAGCCTTGCATGCAGCTGACAAAAGTTCAATCCCCAGTCCCCTCCTAGAACCACCAGGAGTAATTCCTGAGTGCAGAGCCAGGAATAAGCCCTGAGTACCACTGGGTGTGGCTCTAAAACCAAAAGAAAAAAAAATCCAAAACCAAACAGAGGGGAAAAACTACCTTGATTCACTAAAACGACCTTTTCCCTTTCAGAAAGGACCTAACCTGAGGCTGGGCCTATAGTTGCATCCCTGTAATTGCCCCCTCTGCTCAACCCACCCTCCCACAATATGAGCGCAACTCTAATTCTGAACGCTGAAAATCACTGGACTCATTGATTCCTCCTTTTCAGTTCCTAATATGTGTCCCCAAAAGTGCACTACCCAGCTACAGAGAAAGAAAACAAATGCGGTACAGTGTGTTTTCAATGCACATTTTATGGCAGTAAATCAACCCTTAACATGCCAACAATGTAATCAGGGTTTTCAGGACACGTGAGCACATATTCATTACAGAAAATGTTCGTGGAGGCAGGGATGTGCCCAGGTAGAGCTGCTCGTGTCTTGCCCCCTGGGTTGCAGTCCCAGGCAACACATGCTCTGAGCACCACCAGGTGTGGCTCCCACATAGAAACTTGGACGTGTGTGTGCGCGCGCGCGCGCGCGCGCGCGCGCGTGTGTGTGTGTGTGTGTGTGTGTGTGTGTGTGTGTGTGTGTGTGTAAAACCAAACTGCTGAAAGGCACTGTTTCAACGCTGGCCTCTCAGAGAACCTCTGGGCACGGAGAGTAACTCCCTCCAGCACAGAACAGCTCACTCACAGGCCATGCTTAGTCCTGGGTACGGGCCTTCTACCTTCTGCTGACTCATGGGCACCCAGTGAAAAAAGGGAGGGAAAGGAGGGCAGTCAAGCCCATAAAATCAAGGAGCTTCAAAAGAATAACCATAATAGAAGCATGGACTTCTCTCATAAAACCTGACAACATTCAGTGTTTCCTGGCTGAATGGTGGGAGAGGTGGGAGAGGGATCATCTTCCATTGTGGAACGCGGGACCAGGAGGAGACAGTCTGAGTATGTTCATGATTCCTAGCCCTTCACCTTCCTTCCTTGGCTGAGGGGCACCCCACACGGCAACACAGCTAGAGTGAGCGGCACCAACAGAGCAGAGGCTCTAGCTTATTTCTCTAACAGGCAGCTTCAGGAGAGGGGTGAGGAACAGACACATCCAGTCTTTGCCTAGTGCCAATGGAGCTCCTGGGTGAAGCTGCCCGCCCGCCTCTCTTTGAGCCAAGAACTACTTTCATGAAAAGTCTTCCAAGCTACTCCTGATGGTGCCGCCTGCAAAACAGCGCCTGCCTGATGAGGCGATTACAGACCCTTGTCTAATCCCGAAGACTCACCCTGCACTTGATGCATCCTTCCTGATAAATCCATATCTGATCATCAGCACCGACATCCTCCATGACCTGTATCCGGAGAAGCTTCAGGTCCTCTAAGTTTCCATTGGTGGACATGAACAGCCCCGTGGCTTTGTTTCGCAGTCGAAAATAAATTCGTTTCTAGGAGATAAAAATCACAGTGATCATCAGTCATTGTATCCTTTGTGCTAGTAGAAGAAGCACTGAACAAACATCAGGGGCAGGATCTAAAGGTGAGGCCAGAGAGAGCCCGGCAAGCTACCGAGAGTATTCGATATGCCAGACACAGTAACAACAAAGTCTCCAATGGAGACGTTACTGGGCCCGCTCGAGCAAATCGACGATCAACGGGAGGGGTAATTAAGTACCTACAAAAATCACAAAGGTGGTGGGGGTTTCCCAAAGAGAAGAATTGGAAAAATTCCAAAGATACCCCCCAGAGCAGAGCCTGCTAAGGCCATGTGGGCCCTGTGACCGGGGATGTTCTAAAAACAGCAGCCGTAGGCAGATCTGAGGGCTAGAGACATGGAGGCCAGGGGAACGCAGTGACTTCCAAACTTAAAATTGAGCCACGCTTTTGTGAAGGAAATTTCCAGACTCAAAGAGTTGGAAATAGGTGACCTCCCCCCATTTCCCTGTCTTTTCTGGAACCTGGCGGTCAGGCCCACAAACTGCCTCTGGCTCCATATAAGCTCATTAATGGCCATGATCCAAAGACTCACAAATAAATCTTGGAAGAGAGCCACAAACTGCAGAGATGTTTCCGGATCCCAAAGTCATTTCCAGTTGTATCACCCCAGTTAAAATTTTAGAATCCCTGGAGTGAGATTTCATACTCTACTCCACTGATGTATCAAGAGTAGCATACCACCTTTGATGGGGTTAAGGAAGAAGGGGATTGATCTCGATCCAGAAAAAAAATAAATATTAGCACACAATGCTCAACATGTAACAACATGTTAGTATTCTCTGATACAAGGGCTTAATGGCTCCAGGGTGAGATACAACAATCTTCACACATTTTCCTATAAGAAAATTTTGGGGATCATTTTTTTACACATTATTCATAACAAGTCATACAAAATAAATTATTTAGGATTGCTTTGGGGGCAGGCTTGGGTTGTGGTGAGAAAATTTGAAATAATGGTGGTGGGAAGGCATGGTAACGGGATTGGTGTTGAAATACTGAATGTAATACATTATTGTGAACAACTTTATAAAAATAAGATTGGAGGGGAAAAATTTAGCCAAAAAAGCCAAATCATATTTGCGCTGAGAAAAAAAAAACATTCATCCAAGGGTCTATTTAAAATAGCACAAAGAAAAGTACCTGAATAAAAGGTCGTAGAGACCCTATTTGGCGACATCCACTGAATTCGTACCAGTTAGGAACTTCTGCTGGGGACAGCAGGATCTGCCGACCTCGGTAATTGCCGTATTCATAAGTGACCCATCTGTGAAAGAGAGTAGATCAACCACAGTGAATGGCAACTTCCATCTGTCCACAGGCCCCACTCACCTTGATCTTTTGCATGCCTCCAACTATAGTTCATTCTATAGAATTCTATAGAATGGGCTTTCTCCTGTAAATGTACATGGAGGAAGACAATGGAACCAAAGAACAAAATAGAACTTTTTAGTTGAAAAGCCTGGTACTTCCTGGAGCTTTTCATAATTCATTTTCATTTTTAACAGAAATCGTTTTCATTTTTAACAGTAGATCTTTTATTTTGTGTATGTAAAGTTCTTAGCATGTAGCACATGGTGAGTGCCACATATGCATTAAATAAAAATAACAGCAAGGGCCAGGAGGATTGCTCCATGGTTTTTGAAGCCAGCCTCATGTACTGGGGGAAAAGGCAGTTGGGATGAAGAAGGGACTACTCAAGTAAATGCTGGTTGGAGGGATCGCTCGGAATGGGAGATGCGTGCTGAAAGTAGACTATGGACCAAACATGATGGCCTCTCAGTATCTGTATAGCAAACCATAACACTCAAAAGGAGAGAGTAAGAAGGAAGGTGTCTGCCGCAGAGGCAGGGGGTGAGATGGGATGGGGGTAGTGGGAGGGATAATGGGATCATTGGTGGTGGAAGATGTGCACTGGTGGAGGGATTGGTGCTTGATCATTGTATGATTGAAACTTAATCATGAAAGTTTATAACTATCTCATGGTGATTCAATAAAATAAATTTTAAAAATAACTCAATAAATGCTTAAAATGGGAGTAATTACTCTCAATCCAGAAAACTGCTGAAGCTACTGAGGTCTTCTCCCAGGGGTGCCAGTGCCCACAGCTGAGCAAGGGCAGGGTGCATGGTCTGGTGCACAAGTACCCCACCAACCTTCCCTCTGAATGGTCTGTTCCATCAAAAAGGCATCTTCCTCACTGCTCCTCCTGAACTCACAACCGTTATCATTGAATCATAAAACAAAATAGTCATAAAACCTGTTTTTAAAAATTACTAAAAATTCTACCAATATTGTATTCTGTAATCAATTTTTAAATAGGTCTAGTCTATCACTGTCTGAAGAAAACAGGAAGACTACACTGATTGCTTTGTAAATGCAAGAAAAATGCCACTTTTTGGTGTGTGGGATGGGGAGAGGTTTGTGGGCCATACATGGTGGTGCTTGGAGGAACATCCAGTGCTGGGGATCAAACCCAGAGCTCAGCAGACTCAGTATGAGCCCTTTTGGGTGATCTCCCTGACCCAAGAAGATGCTTTCGTAAAAACACTTATTTTCACAACTTATTCTGTTTCCTGGGCTGGAGCGATAGCACAACTGGTAGGGCATTTGCCTTGCATGTGGCCAACCCAGGTTTAATTCCTCCGCCCCTCTCAGAGATCCCGGCAAACTACCTAGAGTAACCCGCCTACATGGCAAAGCCTGGCAAGCTACCTTTGGCATATTCGATATGCCAAAAACCATAACAAGTCTCACAATGGAGAAGTTACTGGTGCCCGCTCCAGCAAATCAGTAAACAATGGGAGAACAGTGCTACAGTGCTATTTCCTAAATACTCAAGGAGAGACCTTCCATGATGACCCTGAATGATTTTATATAGCCTCTGACAGTGATGTCTAGAGAAATCTCCCTCCCCCCGCCCCCCCCCCCCTCCAGCCCTTGCTCCGGAATCAAAGTTTGGTTTTTTCAGAAGGCTGAGAGAGACCAGCTCCTCCTGACTCTCTAAGGAAGAGGACTCCATATAAGGGCTACAGCCTGGTATGAGAAGCCTTCTCCCAGGAACTCTGACTCTGATACAAAATTCTCAGCTAAAGAAAACTGAACATCTGGATGAAGGAATGAAAGATACCTCATGCAGCTTTTCTCAGTGGGAAAAGTATATGCTGAAAATGTATGCTTATTAATCCACAGAAAACAAGGTGTTGTTACTTGTCAATTTAAGGAAATATGGGAGAGAAATACCAAATCTCTCCTCCCTCCCTTTTCTCCCTCTCTTCCCTCTCTTTCCTCCCTCCCCCTCCCTCCCCTCGTTTTTTGGGGCCACATCCTGTGGGTTCTCAGGGCTTACTCCTGGCTATGTGCTTAGGGATGACTCCTGGCATATGCGGTCCTGGGGTTTAAACTTGGGTCAGGTGCAAGGCAAAAACCATCCCCATTGTACTATCTCTAGTTCCCCCAAGTCACATTCCAAAAAATGATCCCTTTATCTGGATAAACAAGTAGATAACATACTTACATGCCTCCAATCACCTGAACCGAGCGTATCTGTGTGTTGAATCCCAGGGACTGAAGATTCACTGTCTCTGCATTAAGCTCAATCTTTTTCCCTTTGAAGCCTTCTCTTTCAAAAAGAATAATTGTTGGTTCAGAAAATTCCTGTTATGGAGCAGAAGCAGTGTTCTGTTATTCATCTTTAATAATCATTCAGACTGAGGTGAAATCACCTCCTCGCGAGGACAGGGTATAAGAGCAAGCCAACATGGGCCTGCACAGATTCCCTCTGTCCCAGAAATCCTGCCTGTTCACCTGATGCAAAGCTAAGGGGATGGGCAGGAATCAGGAAGCCAGGGGAAGGCAGGAAGGGTGCTGCCTGTGCACCCCCCAAACCCCTCCCTCGCCCCTCTTAACCCCACACTTCTAAGGGGATCATTTTTGAGGGGACTGATTTCCAGCTCTTGTTCACTGGGTCAGCAGCAACTCTGATTGGAAGGTAAAGGTAAAGGTAAAAGGTAAAGGCCCTCCCGTTGTTCGTCGATTTGCTCGAGTGGGCCCAGTAACGTCTCCATTGGAGACTTTGTTGTTACTGTGTCTGGCATATCGAATACGTCACGGGGAGCTTGCCAGGCTCTGCCATGTGAGCAAGAAACTCTCGGTAGCTTGCCGGGCTCTCGGAGAGGGGCGGAGGAATCGAACTCGGGTCGGCCATGTTGGCTCCAGACCATATGATTGGAAAGGGTGAGTAGAAAGGGGGAATGACTGTGCCTTCCCTTGTTAGTGCCAAATGCCATGTTGTTGTTTTGTCAGTAAGACAATGATTCCATGTACTCAGGCTCTCAAACTCTTTTGTAGACAGAAGGACAGTAAAGGAAGCAAGGATGGAGGCCCCCTACTCAAAATCTCATTCACAAAAAGAGAACAAGAGTACCAAGTTGGCTGATTTTCAGGAAAATGCAAAAGTGGACACCTTGCCCTTCTTTTACAAACGACAGGCCTTATGGCCCCTGAGTGGTGCCTCCCAAAGTGGTTGAGACTGGCTCGCCACCCTCCACCCCCACTCAGGAGGGCTCTGACATGCCAAGGGGCAGGGGTTGTATTTCAGTTTGTTTCTGTTCCTTCACTTAGGTGCACTCCCCCCTCCCCCACCCCAACCACCGCCAAGAATAGATTTCCAGGGGTGCTAAGTAACCTTTTCTTTTTTTCTTTTCTTTCCTTTTTTTTTCTGAAAACAAGGTAGTAGGCCAATAGGTTTGGGAACTTCTGTTGCTCCAAGACCATAAATGATACATCAAAAATGTTCTTCCTGTGTAAAAGTCTGTGGTCAGGGTGTGCCACTCTGCTGCTTCATTTATGTGGCTGTGTCCTGACATGTAGAAAGGTTTTGTTGACCAGTAAATAGTGCAGATGAGTGTGTAGAAGTGGTTTGTATGGTCTAGGAATTAGGCTATATCAAAGAGAAGGAAGTGAGAAAAACTCAGTGTTACTATTTTCCACTTTTCTCTAAGAAGAAAACAGGTCCAAAATGTTGAGGGGTGGGGAGGAGAATTCAGTGTCAATGATTAAATGAATTTGAAGTACTATGTCATAGCTAAGTCTCGGGGCTAGAGAGAGCATACAGGAGATTAAGGCCCATGCCTTGGATGCTGCCAATATGGATTCCATCCCTGGTGTTGCATATGTTTCCCTGAACACCTCCAGGGATCACTGCAGAGCACAGCCAGAAGCACCACTGGGTATAGTGCAAAATATAAAAAATAAAAAAGGTGGGAAAGGTATATCCTAATATGGGTAAAATATTTCATCACAATCAAAACTTAAAAGGATATCGAAGTGTTGCCAAGCAATGTGAGCATATATTCAAAGTTCTAGGTGAAGGAAGCCATTTGAAAGTTTTATATCTGGTGATTTGGAAATTGTTTTTATTTTTCTCAATAGGTACTAGTAAGTAGTTTTTAGAATTCTAGACAGGTTCAGTACCAAAGGCTTAGTTCTTTCATTACTTATTACCACATCATTTCATGTTTCTCAACTGCTGTTTCCATGCGCAAGAAAGATTCACATCTATCTTTTTTTGTTGTTTATTTGTTTAAATGGGTAGGAGGGGAATAGACAACTCACATATGTTCTTTTTATCCTTAAAATTAAAATCATCAGCTTCATTTATTTAAAGCTACTTGTGGAGGTCAAATATCCAAAACTAAGACTTTCCAAAATTATAGGCACATCCAGGATATCACATCTAAACATTAATTCATAGTTTACTTATAGTGAATGTTGCTTTGGTTACATCAAAATAAAAGTTTTCTACAGATTATTTCAAAGAGTGATTCTGAAATAGAAACCAGCTCTTGGCATTGTGACCAAAGACTGAAGGTTCTCCAGGATGCAGTGATCACTCAGGAGTGCAGTTTTTTTTTTCCACTGTGCATCTGCAAGACCCTCATATAAAATTAAATAAAAAATAAATGATTTCTGTGAAAAAGGGGCATGGTAGTCTAGATCAGCATGTACATGATTAAGTAGGGAAAGCATCTAGTTGCAAATATCTAAATTATGAGAAAGAGGCAGGAGAGATAGTACAGTGCACACGGCCAGCCCTGGTTTGATCCCCATCACTGCACAGGGTCAGTCCTCAAGCCCTGCCAGAGATAACAACTGAGCTCAGAGCCAGAAGTAAGCCCTGAGTACCACCAGGTGTGTCCTAAAACTTATGAAGTAATAGGTTTGTGAAACAACAACGGATTTCAGCAAATCAATAATAACAATAAAATAAGCAGGAAACATGACTAGTTAAAGAAACTTTGGTACATTTACACAATGGAGTACTATGTAGCTGTTAGAAAAGATGAAGTCATGAAATTTACATACAAGTGGTACTACATGGAAAGTATCATGTTAAGCGAAATGACTCAGAAAGAGAGGAATAGACAGAAAGATTGCATTCATCTGGGGAACATAAAGTAACAAAATAGGAGACTAACACCCAAGAGTGGCAGAGATTAGTACCAGGAATTTTGCTCCATGGCTTAGAGGCCAGCCACACATACTAGGGGGAAAGGCAGCTCAGATAGCGAAGGGAGCACCAAATAAAGGGTGTTGGAGGATCCTCCCAGGATGGGAGAAGCATGCTGAAAGTAGACGATAGACGAAACATGATTGCCACTCAATGCCTCTTTTGCAAACCACAACACCCAAAAGGAGAGAGAGAACAGAGGGGAATGCCCTGCCACAGAGGCAGGGTGGGATGGGGGAGTTCGGAGGTGGGAGAGATACTGGGATCCGTGGTGGTGGGAAATGGGCACTGGTGGAGGGATAGGTATTTGATCATTGTATAATTCAAACCCAAGCACAAAATTTGTAGGTCTACAACTGTACCTCATGGTGTCTCACTAATAAAAATTTTTTTAAAATAATAAAATAAGCAGGAAACTAAATCTGAAAGTGAGCAAAGGATACACAAAAGGCAATGCACTGAACAGGAAAAGACCCCAAATGAAAGTAAAGGTGACTAACTTCACTAACAGAGAAACAGATGAACTCAGCAGTGAGATACTACGTTCTACCCGCTCTTTCTAGTCATCAGCAGTTAGAGAGCCACAGAATCAAAACAGTGAAACAAAAATAAAGGGGGAGGGGGCAGAGAGCTAATACAGCAGATACATCTAAGATGGACTGCAAACAGATCAGAATGGGCACCTGTGAAGGGGAGAGGCATGAAGACAGGGATCAGGTATGAAGTGGGAAGAATCCAGAAAAGGCCCTGAGCAAACCTGGCGAGCTGTGTGCCACAACTAGTCCATTTCTAAACAACCAACGTCTGAGAAACAGTAGCAAAATGGTGTCCAAGTCCTAAAAAGCGGACAGCACTGAAAGCAGCTTGGTTACTGCCTGGCATTAGCCTTGAATAAGTTCTCTAGGCTGGTTCTGTGCTGGGTAAGCGCCTCTGCAGCATTCCACTCACCCGGATGTACTTACAGCGTCTATAAATCGAAGAGACTTGAACGTTGCTCCCGACAGGCACCCCATGGCAGACAGAGAAGGGTAGTGACCTTCTTCCAGCACATACTGATTCCCAGTGAAATTCTCTCCATCATATGCAACCCAGCTACAAGGAGAAAAACCACACACACTGTCTAGTAAGTCATCTGAGTTACTCCTATCCAAAACATCCTTTCTTTTGTAACTTTGTTTGGGTTTTTAGGTCATACCTGACAGTGTTCAGGGGCTACTCCCAGCAAGGTGCTCACAATTTAACCCAGGGTTCCTGCATGCAGAGTATGCACTCAAATGTTTGAGCTATTTCCTGGCTCTGAACACTGCTGGGTGTGGCCAACACACACACACACACACACACACACACACACACACACATTTATTGCTTTCTATCTTATGACCAATTAATATTTATAATCTCACTTGTTTGTAAATTTGTTAAATTTGTCAAGAAATGAGACTTCTTGGGGACCTGAGAAATAGTATAATGGGTATATAGCTTGTCTTGCATGTGGCCAATGTGGGTATGATCCCCATCATCCCATATGCTCCACTGAGCCATGCAAGGAGTAAATCCTGAGTGCAGAGACAGGAATAAGCCCTGAGCACTGCCAGGTGGTGGCCCTCAAAAAAGAAAACATACTCACATCCACATCCACATAAAGAAAGAAAGAAATGAGACTTCTCTTCATGAAATGATGGTTTTGCATGTTTTACTTCTCCACCTCCCAGAATTCCTTGCTCTTCTCATGGATCTTCTCTTCTCCCAGCCAGTGTGGTTCTGTCTAACCCCAGAGTCCTCCCTGAATAATCTTTTTTTTTCTTTTAAATTTTGGGTCACACCCAGCATTGCACAGTGGTTATTCCTGGCTCGTGCACTCAAGAATTCCTCCTGGCGGTGCTCAGGGGACCATAGGGGATGCTGGGAATTGAACCCAGGTTGGCCGCATGCAAGGCAAAGGTCCTATCCGCTGTGCTATCTCTCCAGCCTGCCCTGAATAATCTTTTAAGCTTCAATGCTGCCAGTTACCTGGGTTTACTAGTCTCCTCCCAGAATTTCTCTCCTTCTTTTATCTTCATTTCCAACCCCTCTGCACTGGGCCAGATATCAAACCACCAGTTACTTTAGACAAATAATATAGTCTCTATCATTCACCATGCTTTCATAGATGAGTTGATTTGTTCTCTTTCTGTTACAGAAGCCACACAATATACCCCAAGTGCTGCTGGGGAGCCCAGGGACACTCCAGAAATACTTTGGAGAACCATGTGGCACCAGGGTCACACATGCCAGAAATTGTGTACACTAACTGAGCTCTTTCCTCAGTTATGTTTGCTTGGTTTTTTTGGTTTTGCAGTCACACTTGGTGGTACTCAGGAACTACTCCAGTAACCTACTAAGAGGTGGCTCCTGGTGGCACTCAGGGGAACATGAGGTGCCAGGGATTAAACCAGGATATCTATAGCACTTAGATATTTCTCCCTGGCTGTTTTTGCTTTTTTAATTTGGCAAATGTTTATGGAACACTGTCGGGAACATTGTCATTGTTGGGAATAGCACAGGGGACAAAAGCAAAGGTTCCAACTATCTTAAAAGTTATTCTTTTGGGGGGCTGGAACATTAGAACAGCAGGTAGGGCACTTCCCTTGTACATGGCCAACCTGGGTTCCATCCCTGATACCACATATGGTCTCCCAAGATTGCCAGGAGGAGTGACCCTGAGTGCAGAGCCAGGAGAAAGCCCTGAGCACTGTCAAGGGTGCTACCCCCATAATAAAAACCTTGTGTGAACTGAGAGATGGTGAACAAAAATGAATGCACATGTATGGCAGTCATAAGTGAAGTAAAGCAGAAAATAAAGAGAAGACTAAGTTATAGGTAGCAGTAGGCGCTAATAAACATCACTTCTCTGAATCTATGCATCTGAGAGTGAAGTCCGTGATGGCTAAAGGTTCCAATGGTGCTATTTAAAGCCATAAGGAATGGGTAATGTTTAAAGGTGTTATTATTATTATTACATTATTATTATCATTAGTCTAGATTTCTCATCATCTCTTGCAGAGTTTGCTCCCAGGTTTCCTGACCAAATTTCCCCAACTGTGGGCTTTCCAGATCTACTATCCTCAGCATGGCACTTTTAGCTGCCGCCTTTCCTGTCTGGTGGCATTCATCAAAACTCTAATTTGCTCCAGAGAGCCTTCGCAAGCTGAGACCACCTGCCCTGTCCACTTGCTTCCCGGTACGAAGCCCTTCCGGCCAGACAGTGGTGGTCTCGGGTAGGCTGGCACATCCCTGTTTTCCAACCAAGCATCTGCTACAGTGCCACATGGCCCCTGCCAAACAGTCTCTGCCAGGGTGGCAGCCTATGGGCAATCTACAGACCCTTTAAACATGATGGGACTGGAGAATCCAGAACCTAGTGGGAATTCTACCACACAGTGAGATAGGGACTATGGATTTTCTCCACCACACTGATCCCCAGGTCCTCTGATGCCCAGCACTCGGATGCTATTGTGGCCAAAAGTCATATGTGCACTAACAAGCTTGATATTCTTGATACTGTGTAATGTTATCCAACAGTGTGCCAAGCATTCAACTCCTGCCCACATGTAAATTTGCTTTTCCCATGGATTAGGCTCTGTCTGTCCACCGCTGTCTTGCTTACCTTCCTCCTAAAACTCTGCAAGACTTGGCAGAAAATGAATCACCAATTTGACAGGTCGTTTCTTCAAAACTTTGACTGGAACCTTGGAACTGTGGTTCTGAAAACAAATGAATCTAAAAAAGCCAATGGAAATACAGAGTTATTTTCCTCAGCTCAGCATACCAACTCATTCAACCTTTGAAACACTGACCCAACCACGACCTCTGAATAATCTTGTTCTAGTAAGTGGGTGTGAAATGTATAAATCCTTTAATTTTCTACTCCGACATTAACGATCAATTAGAAATACTTTTGGCAGTCCCATTCACAATGATTTGGTTTCTTTCAGAGACATCAAAGGATAATCCAAAAACAGAGGCAGCCTTCCACAGAACACCTTCTCCTAACAAGTTGGGAAGCAAGTTTATGCTTTATTGTGGCCAAAAGTCATTGTTCATCAGTTCTGCATTTACAAGAAATTACATTTTGGAAACACAGAGATTTCCTCCCTCTCAGTGCAGGCTCCTTGCTGACCTATTAGAATCTTGTGTGTGCCAATAAAGGAGACTAAGTGGTATTTATGCCTCTATAATTAGGGCTGTTTGAACACTTCCATTAAAGAGGCAAAATAACAAATGTAATACTTGAGTTGATGCAGTCGGTCAGCAATCTAAAGGTTGGAATGAGAGACCATAAAAAGGAGATCCTGAAAATGTGTGTCAAATGCAGACACAGCAAATATACAAATGCTTTTTACGTTGTATCACATTAACTATGTGCCATTGTTTAAAATATTAACATGAACTCTCCGGCTCAGTTGAATGGTAATAAAATAATAAGAGCATTTTATAAGACATATTTAGATGTAGGTTAATGCTAGTATCAACTGAGCATTGGTGTCAATATAAATCTAATTTTAAAATGCAATTCTGCGGCTTTCAGGCCTAAAATGGAGTAAAACTAACAAACTGTCTTAAATGTGTGACACTATACAGATAAATTCAGCTTTTCAGTAAAAGGGCTCTAATGATAAGATATCAAATATCTTATTTATTTATTTATTTATTTATTTATTTATTTATTTATTTTTATTAGTGAAACACCATGAGGTACAGTTTTAGACTTACAAATTTTTGTGTTTGGGTTTCAGTTATACAATGATTGAGTATCCATCCCTCCACCAGTGCCCATTTTCCACCACTAATGATCCCAGCATCCCTCCCACCCCCCACACCCCTCACTCCACCCCACCTCTGTGGCAGGGCATTCCCTTTTGTTCTCTCTCTCCTTTTGGGTGCTGGTTTGCAAAAAAGGCAGTGAGTGACAATCATGTTTAGTCTATAGTCTATTTTCAGCATGCATCTCCCATCCTGGGAGGATCCTCCCAACACCCTTTACTTGGTGTTCCCTTCGCTATCTGAGCTGCCTTTTCCCCTACCATGTGCAGCTGGCCTTCAATCCATGGAGTGAACCTCCTGGTACTTATCTCAACTATTCTTAGATGTTAGTCTCCTATTTTGTTACTTTATATTCCCCAGATGACTGCAATCTTTCTATAAGCATTTCTTTCCCTCTCTTTCTGACTCATTTCACTTAGCATGATACTTTCCATGTAGTACCACTTGTATGTAAAGACAGTCTACAGAATGGGAAAGGATATTCGCCCAATACCCATCTGACAAGGGGTTGATATCAAGGATATACAAAGTACTGGTTGAACTCCACAAGAAGAAAACATCCAACCCCATCAAAAAATGTGGCGATGAAATGAACAGAAACTTGCTCAAAGAAGAAATCCAAATGGCAAAAAAGGCATATGAGAAAATGTTCTACATCATTAATCATCAGGGAGATGTAGATCAAAACTACAATGAGATATCACCTCACTCCACAGAGACTGGCCCACATCCAAAAGAACAAAAGCAACTGGTGTTGGCGCATATGTGGTGAGAAAGGGACCCTCCTTCACTGCTAGTGGTAATGCTGACTGGTTCAGCCCTTTTGGAAAACAGTATGGATGATTCTCAAAAAATTAGAAATTGATCTCCCATTTGACCCAGCAATACCACTCCTGGGAATATATCCCAGAGAGGCAAAAAAGTACAGTTGAAATGACATCTGCACTTCTATGTTCATTGCTGCACTATTCACAATAGCCAAAATCTGGAAAAAAACCCGAGTGCCCGAGAACAGATGACTAGTTAAAGAAACTTTGGTACATCTACACAATGGAGTACTATGCAGCTGTTAGAAAAGATGAAGTCAAATATTTTTTAAATTACCTGATTTCGCTTCCTTGGGCCAGAGAAGGAATCCTAAGAATTTTAAAGAGAGAAGGAAATGAGTAGAGAACACACATCTGAAAAAAAGGTTTTATTTCTTTCAAATCATTATCAATTACCACTAGAAATAACTAAATATTTTCTGTAGTGCTAAACAGTATCTATGACCCAAAACCACAGATGAAGGAAATCCAGAATGCAATTAAAGGTTCACAAAAAAGGTCACTCCCAGGCCGGAGAGAGAGTTCAAAGGGCTGGAGCACATGCTCTGCAAGCCTCATCCAATCCCCAGTACTGCCTGCCCTGCACCTCCCCCGCCCCCCACCCCTGCCCCAGCACTGCTGGGTGCCACCCTCAAACAGTACATCAACTGTCATGTGTGTAGATCCAACCAAAAATTACATAAAATATAAACTCCTTACCAAACAAATGGGTTGAACAGAAGAAATCTTGCAATTTTTGCCTCCCCAGTCTTCAAAACTGGTATAAAAGCCTTTATCCAGTACATACTGTTCTCCCGTGAAATCAGGATTCTCATAAGCCACCCATCTAAAGACACAAGAGCCATAACATGTTAGACAGCCCAGTTTCTGGGTGCGAGTTTACGCAGAAACCATCACAAGCATTCCGGTAAGTGTACTACACAGAAACTTTTTCCATTTGCTTAGTATCCCTACCCTTCCTTTTACTGTGTTTAGCTGCAAATCAACATGTCTCCATATCAAATCAAAGATACAAGGAAGAGTATCTTTGCCCAGCCCTCCTGCTGTTCTCATTTATCCTTCCAGCTCCTTAGGAAAGCTCTGGTGGGAAGAACTGTCTATATTTTCTTTTCTAATTCTATTGTCAGGAAACAATTTGAACATTTAAGAAAAAAGAAAGATCTTTTAATAAGTGTAAAATAAGATCTTTATTAATCAAGAATTGTGCAAATTATTTTAATAAGAAAAAATATTTTGTGTGTTCAATATTTATTTTTCCAGAAAGATGTTATGTGCATCTGCATCTCCATTTCCCAATAAGCCAGATTTAAAAAAAAAGCTGGCAGAATAAATAATACCTTGTTCCAAACAGGATTTCCAATATGACATAACTATGTAATAAGCAAACTGGAAAACTCTCAGATATAAAAAAAAAAGTCTCCTTTAGAACATTTTAATGTTATCTTTTAAGTGATTTATACTCAGAGAAGAAAAATCAACAAAAACCAACTAATTGTTGAACTTTCCAGCTCAAAAATGAAGTCTCTGAAGGGAAGGAAGTTTTTCAACTCTGTCATTATTCAAGATAAACTGTGAATATTTGAGTCTTAATTCACTGATCCTCTCACAACTTAAAGAAAAACACCTAAATGACTCCATGGAAATGCAGAACCCTCTAAAAACTTTAAGTTAAAGAAACGTTAATTTGTTTATTCTCTCAACAAACACTATTGACCTAATGGTACCTACAGTACCCTGTGTCGGGAACTATATTGGCATAGGGATATAAAGATTAAAAAGATAAAATCCAGAAGGCCTAGGGTTTGGCTCAGTTGCTAAAGCACCTGCCTTGAAAGCGTGAGGCCTTAAGTTTGATCCCCAGGACATGGTCCCCTGCATCTCCCCATGAATAAATGATTCCTGAGTGCAGAGTCAGGAGTAACAAACCCCTGAGCACACCAGGTATGACCCAAAAACAAGTGAAAAAAAAAAAAAGAAGGATGTCAGAGGCTGAGCTGTATCACCCACAATCCCCCCTGGAGACTCTGGGGTCTGTAAAAGGCTAGAGAAGAGGCCGCCTCGGACTTTGCCTTCAAGGCCTAGAGGGAGAAAACTGAACACTCAGGAGAAAGACAACAGCAGAGCAAGTCCGAAGGAGGCTTCAACCAGTGCTTGGCCTTTCCTTCTCACTTGAAGCAGGAGCACTGTGCTACCCTAAAGGCTCAATTTGTCTCCTGTACACAAACACTCCACATCCAGGAGAACCTATCTAAGTCTCAGAAGCCGAAACAGGAAAGCCAGGAGCTGCAGTGCTACCTATGGTCAGCTGTGCTCTCTGCCTTCTGAGGCGTGCAGGGTGCTCAGCACCCCAAGCACCCAGCTCGCCTCTCCCCGGCCCAGCACCACCTGGGGTGGCACGAGGGAAAAGACGAGCAGCTGACCAGGCCTGTCATCCTGGGCATGCCACCACTCACCTTTCCCATCGCAAGGCCATGGGCCACCTCCAGAGCTGGCTCCTGTCCACATGGATGGTCCCCTCCCATTTGACTCCAAAAGCACTTGGTCATTACCTCTTTTGTAGCAACAATTGTTTTTTATTTTTTATTTATTGCTTTTGGGGTCACACCCAGCAATTCACAGGGGTTACTCCTGGCTCAGCACTCAGGAATCACTCCTGCTGGTGCTCGGGGGACCATATGGGATGCTGGGAATCAAACCCGGGTTGGCCACAGGCAAGGCAAACGCCCTACCCTATGCTATCACTGTGCTATCGCTCCGGCCCCTCAACAATCGTTTTATATAAATACTGCAACTTTTCTGAAGAAAGGAGGTCTAAAAAGGTAACAGACCTCAATCAATATTTGCCAAGTGACCAACCATATGAAATATGAGGATGCAGCTTACCCTGGTAAATGCAGTGGCACTACTACAAGTCAAGACTAGAGAAGGCTGAATGTGTGTCTGGTAGCACAGTCTTGAGAAACTTCCTCAAACACCCAAACTCAACGGTTACAAACCAGTAAAAAACTCTTAAGCCAGGAAGTGCCACTGGAAATGACCCACAATAGAAATATACCAAAGAAAGCTGATTTCCAGTAATCACAGTAGAAAGCAAAGATTGACTAGTGCGCCCGATTCTGTGCTTTCCATTTGTATCACCTGCACTGATGCCTTGAGGGAATCCCAAGATCTGCCCAGCGTCCTTCTGCTGCTTTGCATGACAAGGCTGTGACTCATGGAGCCACACACCTGGCGAGTCCCAAGACAAACAACTGTTTCTCTAGGTTGAGCCAAACACAGTGTTTTCCTTCTAAAGTAAATGGCGGGCTAAAATCCTACAGAGTAACTGCATCGTTTCAGGTGACTTCTAAACTGCCACCACGCCAGAACAGGGCCCAACAGAAGAATTTCTCATGATGAAGGAAGCCCCAGCAGTTAATGATTTAACATGGCACTATAGGCAACCCCCTACACAGAGATCCGATGAGCATGACCAGCAGGAAAAGCATATTATTCTGGGCCCCGGAAAAAAATAGCTCACCAGATTCAAATGCCTGTCTCGTACATGTTATGCTCATAAATTCAATCCCAAGGGCCACCCAATGTACTGGGCACGATTCAGGCACTTCTGCTGTTTGAGCTCGGCAACTCTGTGCTGTGGTTCCCGGTCACCACAAGCAAAGTCTCCACCACAGCCAGACGTGTGTAAGCAGCACAACAAACAACAGGACAGTGACTACCACTGAAAGGTGTGTGAGATCTGGAGAGAGAGAGCATTAGCACTTGCCTTGCACGCAGCCAACCTGGATTTAATCCTCATGAGCAGTGCCAGGAGTGAATCCTGAGCAGAGCCAGGAATAAGCCCTGAGCAGAGCTGTGTGTACTCCCTCAAAAATAAATAATATATAAAAAATACAATAAAACAAAAGGTGTGTGAGTGTCATAGACTAGAAGTGTGACATCTGGTATGTCCAAGTGTCCAAGATTACAAGCAGAATGAAAGAGTGGAACCCCGGCAAGCACATATGAGCACAGCTAAAGCAGTACGACACTTGATGAGCACCTGGCCAAGGTACAAGGCAACCTGCTGGGCCATCGAAGCCCTGCAAGAGCCACGGCCAAAACGTGTGAGTTCCAGAGCCAGGTAAGGATGCGGCCCCTGGTCATTCCTAACAGTCTCAATAGCAAAAAAGGGGAAAGGAAGAGGGGGAGTAAAAAAAAAAATTAAGCATATAATATTGAAGATGGGCTGGAGCGATAGCACAGCGGGTAGGGCGTTCGCCTTACAAGCGGCCAACATGGCCGACCCGAGTTCGATTCCTCCGCCCCTCTCGGAGAGCCCGGCAAGCTACCGAGAGTATTCGATATGCCAGACACAGTAACAACAAAGTCTCCAATGGAGACGTTACTGGGCCCGCTCGAGCAAATCGACGATCAACGGGAGGGCCTTTACCTTTACCTAATATTGAAGATACATCTCCAAGGCTATGAGCGGAAGAAACCTCATGAAATAGAGTTGAGGTTAGAATAATCCAAATAACCTACGTTACTCAGGACATTAAAAATAAAACTTAACATCAAACACCTCCATGGCACCCATGTGAAATAATTTTATATGACAATTCAGGAATACTCTCACTTATGACAAACACACAGCAGCCTGGAGCATAAAAGTGATTTACTCCCTTAAGAAGGTATCAGAAATCTAATCTCCGCCTTCGTCATGTTTCTGGGAACCAGCCCTCAATAGGTCTATGGGGCTCATCAAGTGTCGTACTGCTTTAGCTGTGCCCATATGTGCTTGCCGGGGTTCCACTCTTTCATTCTGCTTGTAATCTTGGACACTTGGACATACCAGATGTCACACTTCTATTCTATGACACTCACATACCTTTTGTTTTATTGTATTTTTTATATATTATTTATTTTTGAGGGAGTACACACAGCTCTGCTCAGGGCTTATTCCTGACTCTCCAGCTCAGCTGTGGGGAGGGGCATATCACTCAGGCCCCATCACCTCCCTGAAGATGGTGACTGGCTTAGTCACATGGTCTGATCCAGACCTACAGCATCAGACTCATACTGGAACTGAAAGAGAAGTTCCTTCCATCGGAAGGAGTAAGATGGGAGAATACAAGTCAGATGAGGCTGCCATAGGCGGGCTATGGGGGGAAAAAGCCTGAGGTCAGGTCAACATAGATGCTGAGGAGAGGATGGAGTGATAGTACAGAGGGTAGGGTGCTTGCCTTGTAAGTAGCCAACCCAGGTTTGATCCCCACCACCTCATACGGTCCCCTAAGAACAACCCAGAGGGATCCCTGAGTACAGAGCCAGAAATTAAGTCCTGAGCACAGCCAGGTGTGGCCCAAAAATTAGAGACTGGGACAAGTTCTGATGACAGTGTTTGAATCCCTGTATCCAACCACAACTCAAGTAAAATCTTTCCAGGACTTTTTTAGTTATGCAATTGATGGAGTTTCCATTTTCTGACTTATGCCCATCTCAGCTGATCTGCAGTCCCTTATATCTCAGAGTCTAAAATAATCCTCTTTCAATACAAATTTACTTCAACATTACAAAGCAATCAATTTCTAACTCCAGGTACACTGAAATAAAAGAAAAAAGAATTTTTTAAATGTCAAAATCATGGTGGGGTCTGAGACACAGTTCAATGAAAATGAAAATGTAGGAGGCCTGAGCTCAATCCCTAGCATGCATGGTCCCCCTGCACCACTGGCAGTGAACCCTAGTCCTGAGCTGGGAGTGGCCGCCTCTCAGCACTGCCTAGTGTGGCCCAAAAATCAAGGGGGAAAGAAACAGTTAAGAAAATTCAATGTAGCAATTCTAGAATCAGAGGAAAATCTAATGGGACTAGGTCCCCCACCTCAGATTTCTAGTTTCAGGTCAGCGATGATTCCTATAAAAGTATTCCATGCAAAAAAAGTCAAGGGAAGCACATCTACTTCAATATGATATCCAAAAGTCTACTCCAGGGTTGGTATGCTAGTACAATGGGTAGGGCACTTGCTTTGCACATGGCCAACCAGTTCAATCCCAGGAACCTCATCTAGTCCCCTAGCACCACCAGGAGTGATTCCCGAGCACAGAACAGGAGTTACCCCTGAGCACCACGAGTGTGGCCCAAAATCAAAACAACAACAACAACAACAACAACAACAAAAGGTATACTCCAATTTACATTCCCCTCCCATTGATCGTCGATTTGCTCGAGCGGGCCCAGTAACGTCTCCATTGGAGACTTTGTTGTTACTGTGTCTGGCATATCGAATACTCTCGGTAGCTTGCCGGGCTCTCCGAGAGGGGCGGAGGAATCGAACTTGGGTCGGCCATGTTGGCCGCTTATAAGGCGAACGCCCTACCCGCTGTGCTATCGCTTCAGCCCTTCCTCTGCCCAATTTACATTACATGTAAAAATTATATGAAAGTGATTTTTAAAGATAGATAAAAGGCATCAAAAGGCTGGTGTAATGTTTCATGGGTGAAACATCTCCTGATTGAGTACCTGCTCTATATTAGAGACAATAAGTGAACAAAGGCCAAGGTGACACCCATACTTAGAACTGTGATTGGTTTGTTTTACTTACACTCCACTCAGGACATTAATAGACTGAGTCTTCACGCCATATCCGGTCTCCTTCAGATTAGCAACGATTCCTAACACATCGATACTGGAACCTTTAGATCCAAAGTTTTTTTCACTGTACATTATCATGTGGGCATTCGAAAAATCCTATTGAAAAAAAAATCCAAAATTTAATGACCAGATATTTCTTATTCAAAGAAGTCAAGCATTAGCTATTGGCATTTCTGAAACTTACACCTAATATAGGCCGTAAGGACTGCAGTTCTTCATTGTAACCTCCCCAGTCTTTCCAATCCTTGTATTCTCCTTCTTCGAGCAAATACTGATGACCTGTAAATCCAGGCTTCTCATAAGCAACCCAACTACAACAGAGAGAGCATGAAAGAGCCGTCATTTTCCGTGATGGTGAAACCACTCTGTATGTTTCAGTTTCACACACAAATACAAATACAAATACAAATGGTTAGAAAGTTCAATTGGGATGAACTCATGACTACCAAAATTCTATCAAGTGTAAGGGCGCAAACAAAGTGGTCTCAAGAAGATAAACTGAGAAAAATATCAATATTGGAGGGGAGATAGAAAGGGGGGATACAGAAGGGAGGGAGGGAACAGAGAAAGAGAGAGAGAGGAACAGAGAGAAGAGAGCAAGTAAGAAAAAGAGAGAAAGCAGCAGAGTGCTATATCCCCATTCTTTGGGGATGCCTGACTCAAAAGAACTTTAACAAACAAAACTGGGTCAATGTCATATAGGAATCCAAAGAATATGAACTGGAGAGATGGCTCAATGAACTGGAACACCTATTTCGCACATGGGAGGCCAAGTTAAATCCTGGTCCCCTAAACACTAAGCCAGGAGTGGTCCTGAAGCACCACTGGGTATAGCCCCCCAAAATAAATTCCAAAATCAAATAGTTTGCATTTTTCACTTTTGTGATTTGTTTTGTTTTTAGGGTTTACTCCTGGTTCTATGTTTAAGATTACTCCTAGTGGGGCCCAGGGGATCATATGTGGCACCAGGGATTAAACAGATTGGCTGTTTAATCCCTTAACCCCTTGACTATCTCCCCAGCCCCGTTTACTATTTTTCAAGGCCATATTCAGTGTATAATACTACTGACAACTTATTAGAGCTTTGTGTGCAAAATATAGTCTAAAAAAATAGAAATCAGGGGCAACAGTACAGGGGTAAGGCACTTTCATTGCACTTGTCCGACCCAGGCTCAATTCCTGCATGGCATTGCATATGGTTTCCTGAGCCCTGCAGGAGTGATCCCTAGGCACTGCTGGGTATAACCAAAAGCTTTCCCCTAACCCCTTGCCAAAAAAAAAAAAAATTAACAAATAAAACTCGTGATTTGATTATTCTGGGTGACCACAAACCAGCTCTTCAGATTGCTGTGTCCAAAAGACGAATGTGCTAAGTCACACAGACTGAGAACATGGGCAGTCACTGAAGTAGCCTCTCCTGTACAATCTGGAATGCTGGCTTTAAGTGTGTGGAAAGGAGATGAAGCAGATTCATCACTTAACTAAAAGGCAGAACTCGAATGCCTTCCCATGACCCCAGCTACTTACATGCCTCGCAAAACTTTCATGGAGCCCACTGCTGTGAAGGGCAAAGGTCCATCTCCGCTCTTTCCTTCTGCCTCTCCTCCTTCCACAAAACTGCACATTTCTGTTTCTAGTTCCACACATTTTCCTTCAAAGAAAGGCTTTTCATAAATAATGACCTACAACAGAAAGGAGACACTCTTGTAATTTGTAAGACACTAAATATCTCAGGAGCGTTGTATCAACCACTTACCACTTATTATCACCAGCTCCAGGGACACAAAATTTTCTCATATGTTTTTAATTAAATATTAGTACCTTATAATAAGTTTTTAAATCATTATTTCCTGATGTGGCTTAAGTCATAAGGTAAAATTCAAAATTTTCTAAAGAATTAGCTTCGGTTCAATGTTGAGAACTGATATTTAGCATTTCCAGATTTAGGAACCAAAGGGCCAGGGCTGAACTAAGCAGTAGAGCACTTCTGTTACACATGGGAGGTCCTGGTTTTATCCCAGCTCCACCAAAAAAAAAAAAAAAGTAATGAAACTAAATAACATTTCCCAAATAATGAACCAGCAAGATCTAAGTTGCTTCCAAAGTAAAACAAACTAACTTGGGGCTTTACACATGCAAGGTATGTCTTCATGTGCTCTATGATCTGAGCTCTCTTTCCTGGCCCCAAGTTCAATCTCTGGCATTGCATACCCCATACCCCCAATCCAGCATCACTGGGCATGGTCTTCCTAAATTAAAACAAAAAAAAAAATGAAAGAAACAAATTCCAGATCAAAATTCATCAGGAATTTTGTAGTAGGAATAGCCAAAAGCAATATTTTAGAGTTGGGAGAACTTGTATAAAAGAGGTTCCCCTGACTGGCAAGCAGTAACAGGGCTTGCCATTAGTAAACACTATCGAAGATTATAAAAGTCAAACAACAGTGAACTTCCAAGCTGTAAAGACTCTCGGTGATAACTGTTGGCTATCATCCATCAACATTATTATCTCGCCTGAAGGAAGTATCAGCTCAGACAACTTCCTTTGACCTTGATTATGGTTTATGAAGATTGATAGGGGAAAGTCACCAAGTATTCATTTTCAAAGGCAGGGGCTAGGAATACAACTTAAAATGACACATCTTTTTACCTTTGGATCTGTAGGGTATTCAACTTTACGTCCGCCCTGCAAAGAAATAAAAAGACAGGATAAGAAAACCAGTTCTGTGTTGTTTTGGTTTACCAGGAGGCAGTTCTAACACCACTGGTGAACATCCCTGGCTAGAACCTAAAGTGGTCTGTCTATACACACAGAAGCTCTCACAGACAGGAACCTACTGGGGCATTAAGAACCTCCCTCTGGACAAACTCGCCTGCCACCTCTCTCCTTCAACTGTCTGCTGTTTACAAAACAAAGTCCACTAAGTCCACAGTATGATCAGGAGGACTCTTGAAGACACTAAATTGCTAGGTAAAATGTAAATAAAATTCCAACAATGGGTCTTTAGGCAGTGATTACTTTCATAATGGAATTTTTAAAAAACAAACTTTTTTAGAAAAAAAAAACTATCTAGAAGGTGACTACTGAGGGTCAGGGATGACCTTGCATGTGTGATGCCCTGGGTTTGATCCCACAAGGGGAAAAAAAAGTTCAAAACAAAAGATACTACACAGAAATATTCAACAGGTTAAGCACTAAAATCAATAATGAGAAAGTCAGAGGAGTCTTTTTCACCAATATATGTTTAATGGGTTTTATAAAAAAGCACAGAGATGCTCAAATGCAGCACGTGAATTATAGTTACAAAGAGATGTAGTTGATCTTATTGGGAAATCAGAGCATATACGACTAAATGCACTTTTCTAAAGTATTCTCTCCAAAGGCCCCAAACTTCAGATTTGTAAAGTATTAAAAAGTGCTTTGGAGGATGGAGTGATAATACAGCAGGTAGGGTGCTTGCCTTGCATGTGGCCAACCCGGGTTTGATCCCTAGTATCTCATATGGTCTCCAGGAGCCTGCCAGGAGTGATCCCTGAGTGCAGAGCCAGGAGTAAGCCCTGAGCATAGCCAGAAATATGTAGCCCAAGTCTCCCCACCCCTCAAAAAAAGTGCTTGCAGGCCTAGAAAAGGCATGTGCCTTGCATGGTTCCATCCCCAGCCCTCCAATATGACTTCCCAAGTCCCACCAGGAGTGTTCTGTAAGCACAGACAGGTGGGGCCCCAAACCAAAAAGGACAGTTTTCAAAACCCAGGGCAGGGGGACTGGAACCATAGTATAGTGGGTAGGATGTTTGCCTTTGCATGCGGCTGACCTGGATTTGATCCCCAGCATCCTATGTGGTCCCCAAAGCAATGCCAGAAATAATTCCTGAGTGCAGAGCCAGAAGTAACCTTTAGCCTTACCAGGTGTAACATAAATAGTCACAAAACAAAAACAAACAAACAAAAATCCTGGGGCAATGGTTTCCCACTGGTTTCTGTTCTCTGACAGTTGATTTAATTTAAAGTGGGGGGGAAAGTCCTTAATTAATTGCATCAAGACCAGTGAGAGTAAAAACACATGAGTTGACAAAAGGGTTAGAATTAAGATTTTTTAAAAAAATAAAAATTTATCTTCTTTATTTTCCAACAAATTTTCTAGCCCAGGAGAAAACTAAAAATTGGAATGTTTGTTTAGATTGGGTTTGGGATCACACCCAGCTCTTCTCACTCAGGGAACCATGGGAAGCCAGGGGCTTCCTACACCCCAGCTTTGAGCTGTTTGCCTGTCTACCCCATATCTGTTTCGTAAACGCCTGCTTTCTGGCTTCAGAGTGAGGGGTCTTGCGATTGAGGAACCACTCCCTTGGTTTGACATCATTTTTTACCATTTTCAGAGGCCGCATGGATCCAATGTATGCTTCTTCTGTGTCCCAGAAGGATAAGTCAGGATATTCGCCAGGTTCCAGAATAAAAGGGACACCCTGGTATCCAGGTCCTTCATAAATCAGCCACCTAAATAAACAGCACAGAAGGTGAGATAGCAGTGCTGCTTCCACACTGACTTCAGTAGTACACAGGACCCCACCATCAGAGAGGAAAGAATAAGGAAAGGACAGGAAGCTAGTTCCGGGCAAGTTTCTTGCCACATTAGAGGAATGTCATACAGAAGAAGCCATTAGAGGTCTTCTTTTTGAAGAAAGCATTGTTTTGTCTCCCTGGCCAGCCTTGTTCCCTTAAAGTGTCAAAGTCTCTGTTACTTCCAAATAATGCAATTTTCTTGTTGACTGCAGAGAGGCCCTTGCTAGGAAAATATTAAGTTTTGTTCATTTGTCACCAAAGACCAGAAGGTCCGAACTACTCATTAATCACAGTGTCAAGACATAATAGCAGGTAACACCCATCTGGAGCTTACAAGGAACGCCACCCACAACCTCCTCCAATATCGATTCACAACAGTGCTATGAGGAAGGCACACAGTCGTCCCCGATTCACAGATGAGGTTCAGGACACTGCCTCGGGCCACCAGGCCCTAATGACCCAAGCTGACACATAGCCAGGTTCCCAATTATTGGATGGGCCATTTTTCTCATTCTAGCCAGTGGGCCGAACAGAAACACCCTCAAACGAGTCAGTATCATTGCTGCACCCATGGCTCAGTGCCCACTCTCCGCTCTCGTAGGACGAGAGTGTGGACAAGGCTGAGTGTTCCCAGGCTCCAAACTTTACCGAGTTCTTAGACTGGATTTTTTTGTGGCTTTTCAACACCACACCTACCGGGTTTGTTGGCTGCCACTTCTGCTGTGGTGAAGGGAATCAACCGCCTCAGCCTGCTCTCAAGTGCGAGAGCCAGAAAACCAGAAAATCATGCTTGTTTGCACAGAGTCTAATGACTGTGCAAATTTCTGTCAGTGTCTTCAACCCTAGAAGGGTTCTGGGCAGGTGAGGATGTAGGTGAAGGGCCTTTTCATGTACAAGGTGTTGCAGTGCCCTCTTTGTAAACCAGTGCCAGATTCTTGATAATCACTTATACACTCCAATTCTTTGTTCATCTCCCCAAGGCGTCCTGGCTGGCAGTTCCACCCAGATCCCCAGAGGACTGTGCCCGGAAGAGAAGGGCTGGGAATGAAATCTTTCCCAGTAAAATGGGTCTGATTCTCCTTTGCTCTTTTGTTTGCAATGCTGGCCCAAGGCATATTTGGGATGATGGTTTTGTCAAACCTTCCCCTGGATAACTAAGTCAGCAATGTTTTTTAAAATGCACTAATTATACAAGGATTCATCATCAGAATCCTACTGAAAATCTGTCCACACACAGGAATGCTGAGAGGAAGTGTTGCTGAGCGGGTGAGGAGTTGAAAGTAATCTACAGTGTTAGAAGTCAGTCTAAGCATTACTTGGGGGTTAGAGGGGCGCCCAAAAGCTTCTAAGACATAGGTGGTGTCCTATTTCTTGACTGAGTGGATGTTTACACTCTGAACTTTCCCTCTGCTTGTATATTTATGATTTGTTGTGTACCTCTTTAATATATATAATTCAATTTAAAAAACACACCCTAAAGAGAGAAGAAATTGATCTCTTAAACGTGACTGTAGCATTGTAGCACTGTCCTCCCGTTGATCATCGATTTGCTTGAGCAGGCCCAGTAACATCTCCATTGTGAGACTTGTTACTGTGTTTGGCATATCGAATACATCACGGGTAGCTTGCCAGGCTTTGCAATGCGGGCGAGATACTCTCAGTAGCTGGCCGGGCTCTCCAAGAGGGGTGGAGGAATTGAAGCCGGGTCGGCACGGCTGGCTGTGTGCAAGGAAAATGTCCTACCACTGGGCTATCCCTCCAGCCTAAACGTGACTGTAATGACCCTAAACTACAAAAAACAAAAACTAAGACAAAACACAGGAGCTAGACAGAAGATGTTTGAACTCTCCATATGTTGAAAGCATGCACTGTAGAACTGTAGCACTGTTCTCCCATTGTTCATCAATTTGCTCTAGCAGGCACCAGTAACATCTCCATTGTGAGACTTGTTACTGTGTTTGGCATACTGAATACGCCACAGGAAGCTTGCCAGGTTCTGAGGTGCGGGCGGGATACTCTTGGTAGCTTGCCAGTCTCTCTGAGAAGGATGGAGGGATCCAACCCAGGTCGGCCGCATGCAAGGCAAACTCTCCCTGGGTTTAGTCCCCAGCACCATATATGGTCCCCTGAGCATTATCAGGAGTGAACCCTGAGCACAGCTGTGCTATCACTCCGCCCATTGAAAGCATGACTATTAAGAATTATATGGCATTTCTTTTTCTTTTTTTTTGTTTTGGGGTCACACCTAGCAGTGCCTGGGGCTTACTCCTGGCTCAGGATTCACTCCTGACAGTGCTCAGGGGACCATATATGGCGCTAGGGACTAAACCTAGGTTGGCCATGTGCAGGCAAGAGCCTCTCTACTGTACCTATGGCCCAATATTGCATTTCTTTTTGTAAACAACTACCACGGGCTGATTTCAAGCCCCATCTGTACAGGCAGATTGCCATAGGTGACAAGCCACAGGCCCTGAAGTGAGACCCCTCACCGCAGGTGGTGTGGGCGTTTCATAAACAAGGGCAGAAACACATGGTCCTGGGCTCCATTACGTTTCTCCTTTTGTAGTTTGAGAGCTGAGGGAATCTGCTCAGCCAATATTAAATATTTCACTCTCTTCGATGCCTATAGTTTTACACATAACCTTTCCAGGAGGGAGGAAATTTTAGGTCTGGGGAGTTGATTTAAAAAAGCACCCATAAATTGATCCATTTAAAAAGACTGAGATCATGCTCCAAGGATTGGCACTGGCATGAGATATTTACAATTATGGGGGGTGGAGGGTGGGGGGGATGTGATAGGGGTGGGGGTGGGGGGACTTGGAAATTGGAAAACCCATACAAAGCATGGCACATTGTTTCTAAATTCTAACCCAACAAGATACATGATTCATGAGGCCATCAGGAGAGAGGGAAACTACCTCCAGGCAGTGTTATTTTAGTTTCTAAAGGTACTCTTTAAACCTAATCAGACTTTTAAAATTAGGCTAAAACTGTAAAGCATGAACTTTCATTTAAAAAAAAATTCAAAATATAGGGAATCCTCATTTAGGAGCAGAACCCTCCTCCTCATAATCTGGGACCCACCCTGCATTCTTTTCACTTTCTTTCCCTTTCCCTAAAAATATAGTTTTTAAGAAAAAGAAAACATTTTAATAGTTACAAATATATACAAATGAACATTGCTAAAGTAACAATAATGGCCATCTATGCTTACTAATAACATAATTACCCTTTAAAAATATTCTTTGAGGGCCTGGGAGACAGTGGAGCAGTTAGGGAGCATGCCTAGCATATGACAATCCAGGTTCTATTCCCAGTACTACATGGTGTGGGCAAAGCTCGGCACAGCCCTGGACGGTGTCACCAGGTTGCCTGCATATCCCTGGCACTGCAGGGCCTGAGAAGCATCAAATCCTTCAGTTCATCTATGGGTCCCACAGCCCAAGGGGCTGATAATCATCAATGGGGTCCCCAGACCTCCTGAACATCACTCAAGAGCTCCTCTGCCCCTCCAAGACAAAACAAAATTAAAAAACACAACCAAAAACCAAGGGCCAGAGAGATAGTGCAGGGGTTAAGAGGCATACAGTGCAGTGCTTGCCTTTCATACAACCAACTCCAGGTCGATCCCAAGTACCTTATACAGTCCCCAAAGCTCTGCCAAGAGTGATCCCTGAGCAGAGCTAGGAGTAAACTTTGAATACAGCCAGGTGTTAGCCAAAATCCAAACAAAGGAAAAGGAAAAAGACCGAAAATATGCTTAAAGTTATAAGGGTTGGGGGATGGGTGGGAAGGGAGGAGGGAAGGTTTTCATCTTTTTCACTTGTTCTTAAAACAAAGTCAGTATTTCCAAAATGAATCCTAAGTCTTATTCTCCTGACATGAATGTGAAGTCTTATTCTCCTGACATGATTATCCAACAGGATAATCAAGGTTAAATATGAACATGCTGATTCTGAAGTCAAACAAGAATGAGCTTTGAATCTTCACGGGGAAAACAAGTCTCTAAAAGTGAGCACTGTGGGAGATACCCATTTGGGTAGGCAACCAAACCTGGTGTTAACTCCGGAAGCAGCTTTACACATGCATGTTCTGTGACACACAATCTGAATGTGGCAGTTAGGACCTGAAGGAAGGACCTCAAGGAAGGACCCCTGCCCAAACTGCTCATCCTGTGCCTGCTCTGGCAAGGAGACTCAAACCTAGAGTAACACATTACTCGGTATCACAAGAGAACACTTGGGTAAATCCTAAATGTGGTCATTCTCCAAGACAGTGTCCTAAATTCTTTAAAAAGTGGCAAGGAAAGAATTAAAAGGTACTTCAGAGACAAATACGCCAACATGAACTTTGACTGGCCCTGGGTTAGAGAAAAATATCCATAAAGGACATTCTTGAAAAAAACTGGGAAAATTGGTTAACCAATCGGTAGACTGGTTAGGGTACATGCCTAATTTTTGACCTGGGTTCTGTTACCAGCATCACCTGATTCCTTGGGTATAGATGGTGGCAGCCCTGGAGGGCCCAGAATAGTATAAGATGTGGCCCTGGTTGCCTCGCACTACTGGGGTGGCCTTGATATCCTCAGCACTTCAGGGACAGAACAGTACAACACCCTTTGGTTCTTGCATGGAACTGATGGCCTGATTGGCTAAGACTCCCTAGTTAGGCCCCCAGACATCCTGAGCACTATTTGGGAGTACCCCCTCCACAAAAGGGAAAGTTTTGACAAGTAAAACTCTTTTACCGTCCATGTATAGAACTTAATTCAGTGAACAGAACCTGAGAATATCATGGAATATAAAAAAATTCCCTACATGGCGATGGTTTCTCTTATACCACTCCAGGAAACTGGTCCACCAACAAGAACAAAATAAACTCAGATCCTTCTCATCAGCTTCACTCTCTCAAATCATTAAGACCCTACTTGAAGAGCCATAAAGTACTAATGTTCTCATTCTCTTGCTAACCAACTAAGTTCCAGGAGTTCACGTTTTGAATTGGCCTCCAAGTAGCTTCTGATTAGCCTAACAACAGCAAACATAAACAGTCAGAAGTATCCATTGCCCTGTAAACCCATCATCAATGGTAAATTATGACAGCTTTGCAGCTACTTCCTTGAAGACAAAGATAAACTTCCTATTTGAGAAACATCACTTAAGTATAGCTCATTATGCTTCAGCACAGCCCAGGTCTGACTCATAGAACTCATAGAACTCTCAGTCACAGAGGAAACATTAATGGCAGAGGACTATTTCTTTCTTTTCAAAGGAAAGTAATATTTCTTAACTTTACTGTTTTGAGGGGCAAAAATGTACTGATTGTTCTAGTGTGAAAAAAAAATTAAAGTCAGCAGCAAAAAAAAAAAAAAAGACAGTTTGTTCAGATTCCTCCTTCTCTTCTCAATTGCTACATTAAAAAACTATCCAAGGCTCAGAGAGTTTCTTTCCTCTGCCCATTGGCTCCCTTTGAGACCAATGACTCCTAACTTTCTGTCCCCACCACCTCTAGCACATTCCACTTACTTTCTTACTTATACTGAAGGTCAACTGCAACACAGCCTCTTCTAAATGGAATTTTCCTTCGATTCTTTCAAAGGAAACCTGCTCTTTCAAGCTTTCTGTATCACAATAGCTGTTAGGATCCCCAGCCCTTGTTATGTCTCAGAATCTCCCATATCCCACCCAGAATCCATTAGTAAACATTGTCCATTCTCCCACGAGAAGGTATCTGAATCTGACCGTGTTCCACCAGTACTATGATATGAGGCCACAGTCTATTTACTTTTGCAGACCATCAGTTACTTCCTAACTGGATTATTTGCTTGTACCTTTACTTTTTTACAATCTATTTTCTGCATAGGTACTTGAGTGCTTGTAAAACACAGGCACTAAATTAAAATCCTCCAATGACTGTCACGTCCTTGAGAGTATCAATGGTTTCTCCCCAGCTTTAAAAGGCTCTCACATCATCCGACTCCTTGCTCTCTTGCTCACTCAATTTCAGTCTCTTTGATCTCTAAGCAGTGGCCCAAGCATGCCCAGCAGTTTTGCAAATGCTGTCTTTTCAGCCTAAACTGGGAAAGAAGGTCCCCTGACCCTCTTTCCAAACATATTCCCAGAGCTGCTCATGTCCCTCACATCTCTGCTGCAATGTCACTGGGACCCTTCCTAAAGACCAGCAGAGCACAGCAACACTGACTCTCCCTAACATAAGCTCTTGTGGCATTATCTGACACATTATGTAAGTGTCGTCTTATCCATATCCCATTAGTGAACCCTTTAAAGAATATTCTGAACGTATGATTACATATGTATACACAGACACAGACACACACACACACACACACACACACACACACAGACAGTGTATAATGTCACAAAAAGAAAATCTTACAAGGAAAATATCTGTAATAAAATGCAAAGAATGTTAATGCAATTTCCTATATTTCAATGGGTAGGTTCTATAGCCCTGGGCTCTGTGCTCTGCCTTAGAGACCAGGGTCTGGGGTACTGCAGTCTGCACTTTCTGATTTTTCCAACTATGATATCCCATTTCCTTCAAAATACTCTTGCAGTTTCCTGCGATTGGAGAAACTACATCCTCAGAGTCTGAGTGGCATTGTGTGGCCACAGGAAACTCCACGCGTACTGGCTTTCATCCCATCCGAAACAACAGGCACATGTTTAGTTCCTTTGAATTACCACAAAGGTGTAATCTGTTATTCAGCTTTGAAAGAATCAGACTCTCCATGTAAAGGAAATCCCAACATTAAATAAATACAGTTTCTTTCCCCGGCACTTCTCTCAGTCAAGTGACTCTTTATAAGAGCTGATTCCAATGATACAGGTATACCAAAGAATCAGAATGTTATGTACCTTATTAAACAGTACCATCTAGTCATTAATGGTTTAACAACAAACCAGAGATAGACCAGCTTCTGTTCTCTTTCCAAAACAACACTCACAAAAACGCTTCATTGGAATTGTACACGAAGAGAAAATACTTACGTGCCCCAATGCACTTTAATGGAACAAGTCTTCTGCATTACACCAAATCCCTGCATTTCTTCAGCATCATCGAAGTAGGAATTTTGGATTCCCAGCCCTTCTGGTTCAGTAAATAAATCAATTTGACTAATTCTGTAATCCTAAAAAAAACATATAAATATATAATAATAACTATAGCATGCATTTAAATCTTCAGTGATCTCATAACCCTTCTCAAATAATAAGGTTTAAGTACAGTACACTTATATTTCATAGGGCATCTGACATTTTATCCCTTTCTTGTTCCCATGACTTAATGAATTAATAAGAACTCTTTGGGGTAGAAACGCTGTCACAGTATTATATTCAAGCAAAGATTATCAAGAACATGTTTTGGTATAATTCTGGAATATATTTATCTCATCCTCAGTGAGACAGCTGCCTGGCATTGCCTGGTGACCAAGGCACTTCAGTTCCTTTGCTCTAATGATCCAAGTGGAACTCAGCTCTGTAAGTGGTTAGAGTCCTCCTCAACCTTGACTGCATGCCTGTAAGGGCTCCCATAATAACTTTCCTTGACTGTTTCCTAAACATCCATGTTTCATGTCAGCAAACATACAAACTTATGATGACTTTAGAATTTCTGCACTTTGGTTGCTGTTCCATGAGCCATACATCCGTGATTCATCAAACACTTTTCAAAAGGCCTCTATCCCAATTTATTTATTTTTCCCCCCAATTTAGTGCCTAAGCACCGAGTATTTATTGAACCTCTTCTATGTTGCTAAGCTAACTAAGGTCCAAAAGAAATGATGGTATAAGGCCAGAGTGACAGAATAGATAGTAGGGCTCTTGCCTTGCATATGGCTGAGCCAGATTTTATTCCCAGCACTCCATATGGTCCCAAGCCCTCCAGGAATAATCCTTGAGCTCAGAGCCACGGATAAGCCCTGAGTACCGCCTGAGGACAGCCCAAAATATTTTTTTAAAAAATGAAAGTGCTAGGATGAGCGCATGTGAAATTCTTTCAAGCACTGCCAAAAGGAACAGATCTAATGAACTAAGAAGGTGGCCCTCTTGCTGTAATTTACATCATGTTTCAAGAATTTATAAACTATCTACAAAAATATAATTTATGATGTATCAAAAGTCATAAAACAAGCAGCATTTATGAAACTTACTCAAAGGATATGAATCAGAATATTACAAAATATTAAGAGCACTAAAATGCTCACATAGCATTATTTAAAATAGAAAATAACCAGAAACAACCTTAATTTCCACAGGACAAAGAAAGGTGAAATAAATGATGAAAGCTCTGACCATCACAGGGCATGGCCCCCAAACCAAAAGTAAATAAATACACGATGACGCATGATATCAATGCCCTCTGATTCTTGGTTAAACTCCAAACCAGGTAGCACCATAAAAACCACAAAACTACACTAAGTCTGCTATTATCATGCAAAACAGGAGGTCTCTTTACCAATGTTTCCCTTTCTTTACCTTGACCATCTGGGATACCCCCAGATCAGTTCTCACTTCACCAAATCCTGATACCTCTCTCAACTACAAATCATTGAAGGATGTTACCAGAAGGAAGAGGAGCCTCAGAAAATGGTGTAGAGAGAAAAGGGGTGAAGAACAACACCCTTCAGTTATAGAAGGAAAACATCATCATAACTGTATTACAATGAAGGAAAAAGAGTATAATATGGGCAAGAAAGAATAACGAATGCAGATCAAACAAAGAAGAGTGGTGGAATTTGCATTTTTAAAATTTGTTTTAGTACCAATGTTAAATAAGCAATAATTGTAAACTGCAGGTAGATTATTCAATGAACTAAAGCAGCCTTAAGTGGGGTTCTTTGTGCTTGACTTCACAGTACGTGTATGCCTTAAAGAGTCAGTCGATTAGAATAGTGTTTCTCGAGTAGACCCATATATCCCAAGATGGACAAGTTGAAAATTCTGTAAATGGGAGTCCACACATGAGAATCAGGGGTAAGACAGCAGGACAGGGAGACCACAGGAAGAAAACAAGGTCGGAAGGAGCCACAGTCAGAAAAAAGTTTATGAAATCCTGATTTAGTTGTCATCTAAGTAACTCAGGAAGGCCAGCCTTGGAAGCAGGTGGTAAGTTTATTTGCCAAAAACTATTACTCATTCTTCCTCATCTTCATTTAGAGCATTCTCTTTCTCCCAACTGCACCCCCATGTCCATCTCAATTACATATACAAGGTTTTCATTTTTCACTGGAAGATGGTGTGTATTACATTGCCAAAGTAAATCGAATAACCAAATCCCAAAAGAAAGTCACAAAGATTCTGATACAATTTCTTCATCAACAAATAAGGAACCAAGAAATTTAACCCAACCCGTAATATGGCTTCAAATAGCATCTCCTTCCTTCCTTCCTTCCTTCCTTCCTTCCTTCCTTCCTTCCTTCCTTCCTTCCTTCCTTCCTTCCTTCCCTCCCTCCCTCCCTCCCTCCTTCCCTCCCTCCCTCCCTCCCTCCCTCCCTTCCTTCCTTCCTTCCTTCCTTCCTTGGACAAGAAACCCCAGAGTTTCTGTCAATTGAATTATTTTTGGATTGTTTATTTTCCAAAAGAGAAGTGTAAGCCACTCAATTTAGTAAGAATTCACACAGCAACCATAAAACAAAATTTTTTAAAAATCTCACATGAGCTAGATAGTACAGTGGGTAGGGTGCTTGCCTTACATGTGGTCAACCGGGTTCAATCCCCAGCACCCCATATGATACCCTAGCACCTCCAGAAGTGATATCTAAGTACAGAGCCAGGAGTACTCTCTGAGCAATGCCAGGTGTGGCCCAAAACAAACAAACAGACAAAAATTTCCTCACATGGAATTGATCAAAACAAGATTATTAAGTAAAAAGGCATTTGGATATGAGTACAGAGAGATGGTGAGGGGTGAGTGGCTTACCTTTGGGAATTTGGGGGAATAATATGACATCAGAATGCTTCTTTTCCTAATTCACCTAAATTGTACAAATACTTAACAAAAAATACAATCATAAGGTACCAGTCAGTTCTGTATATTCACTTTTATTTCCAAAAAGTGAATCTAACATAAAAGTTACCCTTGGCATTTAATGAATATTTGCTATATGAATAAAGTCCAGTTTTCCCATAACCTACCTGGACCACGTGTCTGATTGAACCAATCACCACAGGCTTTGCAGACTCTGTCTCCTCACTTTTTTCCAAAACATCTTCTATACCCCAGAGACCAGAAAGTTCCAATTCACCTTCTTCTAAAGGGATGGAGTTTCCTTCAAAATTTGGTTTCTCATACAAAATCCAACTAAGAATAAAACATAGCAAAACTGTCAGCCAGACCTTGTGAGAGAGTTTTTGATTGCTCAAATAGTGTGTATAAATTATAGAATTATAAATATTTTTTGCTAGTAGTCAACTCTAGAGCAGTTAAAATAGTAAAATCTTCCCCTAGACTAAAACTTTACTGGGAGAAATTAAATCTCTGATAATTCAATGTAAAATCTGGGGTATCAAGATAGTCTCAGTGTCACTAAAGTTCTCTGGAATTTCTAGTTTACTGGAGACTCAGGAATGGAATACACATCAAACAAATGGAAAAATACTGATATTTTTATATTTAATGTAAAACAAAACTTCTCTTGCAGGGATTTAAAATCATTAGTACAGTATCAATGGGTATGTTGATAAAGGACTAGATGGGAGATAATGGAAAGCATATTTAAAATATACCTCCCGGGGGCTGGAGTGACAGCACAGGTTGAATTCCCAGCATCCCATATGTTCCCCTGAGCACTGCCAGGAGTAATTCCTGAGAGCAGAGCCAGGAGTAACCCCTGTGCATCACCAAGTGTGACCCAAAAAGCAAAATAAAATAAAATAAAATATACCTCCCAGTACCAGTAAAACACTTAAGGAAAACCTCATATGAACATATGATCAAGATCTGTAGCAAAGTGCTTACAAGAAAAACGGGAAGCCAGAAGTATGTGCAAAAGGAGAGAAGTAACAAAACTGTGGTATAAAATTTGGCTTTGGCACAATTTTTTAGTATTCAAGTTTAAAAACAAGAGCTAACTGTATTTTTCTAATAGCTTGTATAGAAAAAATATATTAAAATGTACAATACCTAATAGAAAACATATTGCAAATCTGATTGAAGCCAGCAAAAACCTTACTAACTGTCAAAATCATAAATGTCTAGATCATGACCCTCTTTATCTCAAGGAAGTTTACAAACAAGTTATCAGAGGTAAGCATACTGATAAGAAACTTTTTAAAACTTCTTTTCTTTATTTCAATTTCATGTGCATTTTTTAGATGCAACTAGGCTGGTAAATAATTTTCCACCAGTTTATTTAATTATAATGATCTGTGTCAAAAGTTGTAAGGTAAAGAACTTTTAGATTAGCCTTCACTGAACTACCTTGAACAGATAGTGCTAGAGATATGACAAAGCATGTCCTTCATCAATTCCCACCACCACCAAAAAAAAAAAGTCTTTCCTTATAGAAAAAAATCTGATCAGCATGATACCACCTGCTTTATCAACACAATTGGTACAATTCTTACCAACCTTAGTGAAAATTCATAAATAAAAAGTTTTCTTATATTTAAAAAAATTTTATATTAATCCAAATATTCAAAAAAAGTATACATTAATCCAAAAAGTGTTAAGTGAGAACATAGATAAAAGGAAACTCGTCAAGGACTTGTGGATGGGACATCAATACCTTTTGTTATACCTCAGTTAACATTTGGATAAATAAATAACTGAATCAGAAAAAAAAAGAAACTTGTATTTCTGTGCTCTTTCTGGCATAAACCACATCCTTTAGATGATCAGAAATATGATTAAAAGCCATCTTCACTATGAATTGCTTTTAACACTATGACTGGTAGTTTCCCCCTTTTAATTGTGTAAGGTGTAATTTTAAGTTAGCACTAAAGACCAAAAGGGTCCCTAAACGTGTAAAACACAAATGCTGTGAAATCAGGAACTCAGAGTGCCATTCTTACCATCCTCTCACAACTTTTACGAGGATCACAGGAGAAAGGCTCCAAGAGCTGCAATCCTGAATGTCACCAAAAACTTCAATACACTCCTCGGAGACTTCAGGTTCTCGAAATATCACGACCTAGAAGAAGACCAGAGTGGTAGCACAGATGACTGCCCTCAACCAGGCTGGCCTAAATAAAATCCTGAATAGGAATAGAAAGTAACCTTACCTTTCCGGGCCGGGGGTTGATTTTACTTTGGACATTTCCTCGAAGTGTCTGAAACCAGATGAACAAAACAATTCATTAAACTTCTATTAACACTCTTCTTTTCCTAGGAACCTTGAAGTAGAATCACTTCATAACTTTGAAACATGGTTTGAAACAGGCCACCTTGATCTATGCCATAGTCATTTGGAAATTCTTCTTATGGTTATACTCTAAAGCACTCTTTTCTTTTTGAACTGAGATCATTTCTCCTCATTTAAAAATGCCTAAGTATATTTCCACCAATCTAGAAAATCCAGGGTCCCAGGAGAGACCTCAATTCACAGAATGAGAAGTTATCTAAGAGACTGTTACTCCAACAGTCTGATTATAATCTCAAATAAAGAGAAACTACAATGCATTTGTTATTCATCTAGAAGTGGCCAATGTCAATCTTGCAGGTTCATATATACACCTAATCTGAATTTGTAGGTATGTTTTTCACAGAACCATCACAAGTATAAATAAAAGTGTCTGTGTTGTATTTCATAATGGATATGGCACATGGTTTATTTAGTACTCCTTTTTGATGAACAAAATACATTTTATACGGTACCAAAACCAATCATTTCCTAAATCGTCTTACAAAACAAGTAAAACCAGAAATACTTAAGATAATAAAAATAGTAATTATACATGTAAAATATTATAAAACATGAACTACTTTCAGTGCAAACCAGGATGCCTAGTCTGAGGTCTGCCTTTGATCTGCTCACTCTTACATTACACCAGAGTGGAATGCGCCCAAAAGACCACTGAGGAAAAGAGCATTAATAGGAGTTCCAATGGCATACACCTATTTACTTGTATATGCACATTAGAAGTAGGCAAGTTAAGAAAAAGTCTGATATTCAAAATTAAATTCAGGTAGTACATTAAAAATAGAATACGTATTCTTGTCAACCAAACCCAGAACCTATAGAAACAAACAAAAACATTTTTATTAAATCATGGAATTAAAAAAAAATGCCCATACCGGGATAGAAAAGGGATGGCGGGGCGGAAGGCTGGGGGAGCAACGTAGAGATTTGTCTTATGTGTGAGCCTATGTTTGAGCCCTGGCAACACACCACACACACACACACACACACACACACACATACACACACACACAACTAAGAGAAAGTATAAAGCACTTTGCTACTTCTTTTGACTCCATTTGGTTTGGTTTTCAAGGAATTCATAGGGTCATTTGCATGCTGTTGTCCATTATAGTGTAGCCAAATAAGAGAAGTACAGTCATACATCATTTAGCAATGGAGAAACATTCTGGGTAATGTGTCATGAAGCAATCGCATGGCTGTGCCGGCATTTTAGAGACAGACTAGACAGCTTAGCACTTCGTTCTCATCTGAGCTACAACAGTCTAGTGGCACCATCGTAGGACACGATTGGCCAAGATGTCACTAGCAACAAATAAATATCATCTGAGAATGATTTGAAAAAGAGAATGAAGCTGCAATGCTGAAATTTCATGCTTGAAAGGTCTAAAAACCATAATCACATGATTTCTGAATGCTGATTCAAGTTTGTTTATGTGGTGATTCTGGAAAGCATGTTCCAGGGGTCTCTGTAGGGTGCTCAAATCCTTGAGCATTTGGACAACAGAATTTTTCAAACAAAAACCTACCTTTTTTCACTCTCTTCTCACTAGTGTATGTGGAATTTTCTAGAGAGTCCATGCCATATGAAATTAGTGTTAATTTCTAATAAAATCAATTGTGATTGGGGGCCAGAGATAAAATACAAGGAGTAAGACAATCGCCTTGCATGAAGTTGAACCTGATTTGAACCCTGAAACTGTATTTGTCTCACCAAAACTGCCAGAATGATTCTTGAGCACAGAGCCAGGAGCAAGCCCTGAGCACAGCCATGCATGGTACAGCCCCCACCCCCCTCACCTCCCTCAAAAAAAAAAAACCAAAACTACCTAACTAATCCCCATTATCTTGGGCCACAGAGATGGTACAGTAGTTAAGGATCTTGCCTGGTATGTGTCATACTCTGGCTTAACCTCTGTTACTGCATATAGTCCCCCTGAGCCCTGCCAGTAGTGAGCCCTGAGTCCTGCAAGCAGTGAGCCCTGAGCACTGTTGGCTGTGGTCTACCCCTTGAAAGCTTAATTGTGATGGGAGTAACTCCTAGGAACCCTGACCTCTTGGGGTTGCAATAACTTTTCAACATAAAAGGGTCCTGAAACAAAAGGTCTGAAAAAGAAGGTATCTCTTTTCAAAGCTACAGTGACAGAACAAATGAAAAAGGTGCCAGGTCTCTCCTGCGTGGATCACAGGTGTAGATCGCAGGCTTGGGACATCAGAGGAGGACAGGGATACCAGGAGCACAGGAGCACAGAAGCCCCTCCTGCCCCCTCCTGTCCAGAGAGGCAGAGCCGACCGGACACATCAGACCTCCTGGCTCCTTCACTGCCCTCCCTCAGTTTGCTTACTGAGCTTGGTGACAGAAAGGCACAAATTCACATTAATAACAAAAACAAAATTTCTAGTAGTCAGATAACAGATAATGAAGAAACCAAAATTGTTCAAAGTCTGACTGTGGCACTCTCTATGCTATTAAAGGAAAAATCTAACCTGGTACAAAAATTCTTTCCTGCCTGACCACTTTTCAGGAAAAAAAAAAATTCCTGGAAGAAAATTAATTCCAAACAGAGAAGGCATACCTTCTCAACTTTATGGATTAAGAGTTTATCGCTACATACACGATTTGAATCTCATCGTACATGAGAATCAATTCAGATTACGATTTCCTAGTGGGGGCTTTTTCAAATAAAGGAAGCTGCTTCACAGATCTTCAGAATTCTAAGTATAGTATTACACATTGTCATAAATATTTGCTAGAATAATGCATTCAATCTGTCACTGAACATGAAAGGGATCTTATCAGCACCTTTCATAAAACAATAAATTCCCAAATGCATTCAGATATGTGTAGCTCATTTTCTGAGTCAGTCTATGAATGTCCTAACAGAAATTTTGAGGCTGGAGAGATAGTGCGTGGATTAAAGCACTTGCCTTGCTTACCGCCAATCCTGGTTCAATGCCCTGGCACTGCATGGTTCCTCAAGCAGAGCCAGAATAGTCCCCAAACCCCTGTGGGTGTGGCCCACATTCCTCCCCACAATGCCAAAAGAACAGAATCTTAGTATCACTTCTCTTGGAGTTCAGCAGCCCCTTGTACATGGGAGGTTTTCTAAATATGTGATGGATAAACATGAGCATAATCTTTCATTTGGGGTATGGGGACATACGTGGGCAATGCTCAGGGGTTGCTCCTGAATCTGCACATGGAAATCACTCCTGGAAGTGCTGGGTGGGGGGGGCACCACATGCGATGCCAGGGACCGAACCCAGGTCAGCCATGTGCAAGGCAAATGCCCTACACGCTATACTATTGCTCCTGCCTTATGTGCTTAACCATTTCTAAAAGAATAGCATGAACTATATATCATGCCTTTCTCCTCTCCCTCTCACAAATATCCTCAATACACGACAATATGTTGTCACTTACCGCTGATTCTGATAGTGACATCCCAGAAAAAGAAAGGCTTGGGTCAAACCGGCTGGATTTGAAACGGCCTGCGAAGTCTGTGTCACTGTTTGCATAGTTAGACTTCAGAACTCCTTCTGCATGGTTCACTTTATCTGTATCATCACTGTTCTTCAGTTTCAGAAACTCAGAAAACTTCGTCTCTGGCAGGTGTAGGTTGCTTCGTGCATCAAGCTCTTTCCTGGCTTCATCTCTCTGCAGGTATTTCTCCATGTAGCTTGGGCTTTTCAGGCCTGAATGAGAAGCATTGGACGAGTCGAAGTTGAAGACCTTCAAGGAGCTGCTGCCGGGCGGAAGATTCGGCTGTTTTTCTGAACTGCAGGGCGGGGCCCCCTCCGCCACAGGCTGTGACACAGAAGACCGAGAAGGAGAAGTGTTCTGAGAAGTGCTGAAAGATGTGGTCATTGTACTGACTGAAGTCACAGAGGGAGCAAAGACTCTGTCTTGCGGTAAAGACGATAACAAGCTGGAGAACAGGGCACTCTTTTCCAGCCTGGATCGCTTCACACCACCGTTGGGGACATCCCTGTTCTCTTTGTCACTGATTTCTGAAGGGGTCGGGGACTCGTCCTTCCCATTGGCATAAGTGTGCAAGGACTTGAAGAGGACGCTCTGTTCGGCAGACGTACGTTTGGGCCTCAGCTTGGATTTTGTGTCCAGGTTCTGCATCAAATGGAAAGCAGGAGACATTTCTGGCTGGCTTTCCTTTTTCTTCCCCAGGCCAAAGGTAAACACGTTGGGGTCAAACACCTTTTCTAAGTTGTCCTCATGAATAGGGGGCATGGCAAAGGGGGGGATGGGAGAGTTGGGCATCCTGCCCTTCTTTTTCTTCTGGGGCACACAGACTGCGCTATCCATCTTTTTGATAATTTCTGTGAATTTCTCCATGTCTGAAGAAGAATCCAACACACTGTCATCACTCCCAGCAGAAACGTTCAAAACGCTGGCGGGGCTGTCCTGACCATTCACGGCGCTTTGAGCTGGCCTTGGGGGACTTTGCAAGTGATCGCTGTTGCAGGTGGATTTGGCCAGCGGGGGCTTTGTGTCACCCTGACTTTGAGCCTGGAGAGGCAGAGATTTCTCTGATGCCTTCAGTTGCATGATTTGTGGGTCAGCTCTTGCCCCATGCTGCTCTCCGCAGGAGATGCCTTCCGGTGGGGAGCTCTGATTACCCACTTCCTCTTTCTGGGGCGCACAACTGGCAACGGAAACCACCTCCAGTTCATTGTGACAACTGGGCAGCTGCCCTTCCCTAACTTCAGAACTGTCAGTGATGATGTGGGTGCTCACCTCCTGGGGGCTCTCCACGGGCAGAACGAACGACCGGACCTGGACCAGCACCCTGGATGGGCTGGCTTCTCTTCCTCCGGAGAGTCTGCTGGGGTTTTCCTCTCCGGGACACTGAGGAGGCTCAGGCGAAAGAGAGCCGTTTCCTGATACTTTCAGAGTGGAGCCTGGAACACTGCTTCTGGACACTGGAGCACCAGCACCTTGGGGGCCATCCACCTGATGGGGTGCAAGCCCAGGCAGAGAAGGCCCCAGAGATGACTCAGCCAAGGGCGCTGAGTCAGAGCCTGAATCCTGTGGCTTCAGTGTGGCTGCTGGTGCTGGGACATGGGCATCATGCCCCAAAGCACTGTCGTGGGCCATCCCAGTTAGGTTTTCAACAAGTGCCTTGCAGTCAGCAGCTTCTGTGGCGACCTCTCCTGCAAACAGCTGGTCCTGCACCCGCACCTGAGCAATCGCCCCCGGGTCGGGAGGGCAGCTGGTGTTGGAGGGCGCCTCTGCCTTGGGTGGGGCACCCACAGCCTGGTCCCTGGTCACGGCCACAGACGCTTCTTTGGAGAGCGTGGCTTTCATTTCCGTGGTGGCTTCCTTCCCCGGTACCCCATTCTGGTGGTTGGTTGGTGTGACTTTCTTTTCAGGTTGCTCCATCTCCTTGGCTTTTTTGGCGAAATTTAGTTTGGCCCTCCCCACAAATGTTTTACTGGAGGGGGGAAGGTTGCGAGGAGCCCGGGTCTCTGTGTGCCTGGGGCTCCCGTTGACACGTTTGTTTTCAAATAAGGAGATTTTGGTAGCAGTGTTTCCTTTATTGACTGGCTGGCTAAATGGATTGTGCTCAGTGCTCAGACTGTCGAGATTCTTTGGGGTTTTCAGATTGAGTTCCACATTTTTCGGCTTGGCAGGACTGCAAGGATAAAGCAGGAAGATAAACTTATTGACCCGGTTTTTATTTTATATTTTATTTTTATTTTTTTAATTTTTATTAGTGAAACACCATGAGGTACAGTTGTAGACTTACAAATTTTTGCGCTTGGGTTTCAGTTATACAATGATCAAGTACCCATCTCTCCACCAGTGCCCATTTTCCACCACCACAGGTCCCAGTATCCCTCCCACCCACCCCCATCCCCCATCCCACCCTGCCTCTGTGGCAGGGCATTCCCTTTTGTTCTCTCTCTCCTCCTGGGTGTTGTGGTTTGCAAAAGAGGCAATGGGTGACAATCATGTTTGGTCTATAGTCTACTTTCAGCATGCTTCTCCCACCCTGGGAGAATCCTCCCAACACCCTTTATTTGGTGCTCCCTTCTCTATCTGAGCTCCCTTTTCCCCTAGCATGTGTGGCTAGCCTCCAAGCCATGGAGCACAATTCCTGGTACTAATCTCGGCCACTTTAAAAGCGAGTATACAAATAATGAAAACTCAGCATCTTTCTGCTCTGTTAACTTTATTGTTGTTGGTGGTGATTTACTGAAATCTTTGGTCGGGGGGGACACACCCAATGATGCTCAGGGGTTACTCCTGGCTCTGCACTCAGGAATTACTCCTGGCAGTACTCTGGGGATCATAAGGGATGCCAGAGATTGAACTTGGGTCAGCCATATACAAGGCAAATGCCCTACCTGCTGTACTATCTCTCTGGCCCCCTGAAATCTTTTATACAGATGTTTTATGCTTTCCTTTTTTGAACTGAAGTAGTATACTGTTATGACAAACTATAAGATTCAGCTATCACTGAAAATCAGCATGTGTACTTACTTCATATTAGCTTCACCACTAGAAGCCTAATTCTATCCTTTGTCATGCAATTGTCCCTCTTACCCAGGCCCTTCCCCCTTCCCTTCGGGCAATCATGACTTTTTTTAATTATTTATTTTATTTAATTATTTATTTTATTTAGACACGATGGGCTGGAGCTATAGCACAGCTGGTACCAGTTCAATTCCTCCGCCCCTCTCATAGAGCCAGGCAAACTACCAAGAGTATCCCGCCCGCAAGGCAGAGCCTGACAAGCTCCCCATGGTGTATTTGATATGCCAAAAACAGTAACAACAAGTCTCACAATGGGACATTACTGGTGCCCGCTCGAGCAAATCGATGAACAATGGGAGGACAGTGCTATAGTGCTATTTAGACACAATCGTTACAATACTTTTATTTTTATTTATTTATTTATTAGCGGTAGGGCGTTTGCCTTGCACACAGCCAATATGGCCAACCCGAGTTTGATTCCTCCGCCCCTCTCGGAGAGCCTGACAAGCTACAGAGAGGATCTCGCCCGCACGGCAGAGCCTGGCAAGCTCCCCGTGACGTATTCGATATGCCAAACACAGTAACAACAAAGTCTCCAATGGAGACGTTTACTCGGCCCGCTGGAGCAAATCGACGAACAACGGGAGGGCCTTTATCTTTACCTTTTGCGTCACACCCAGTGATGCACAGGGGTTACTCCTGGCTCTGCACTCAGGAATTACTCCTGGCGGTGCTCAGGGGACCATATGGGATGCTGGGAATTGAACACGGGTTGGTTGCTTGCAAGGCAAACGCCCTACCAGCTGTGCTATTGCTCCAGCCCCACAATACTTTTAATAATGGAGTTTGGGGCTTTTAGCTCCAAATGCCCCACTGGTATCAGTGTCCCTTCTCCAATGATCCACAATTTCCTCCCTCTCTTCACCTTGCCTGCTCAGCAAACTCCTTTTTAAAAAAATCACTTTTTGGAGTCTGGGTAACATGCCTACAATAGTATTTTTTCTTATGGTTTTGTTGTACATCATTAACTTGAAATGCCCAAGAGCCTCCATGTAATGATCTTAAGAGTCTAAAAGTTTATTTTTGTTTTATTTAGCTCATCCAGTTTTCATCCTCTCTGTATGTCACATGTGAGTGAAATGAAGTGTTTGGCTTTCTCCATCTGATTTGTTTCATAAAAAATACTTCCCTCTAGTTCATCCAGGCTGTATCATCATTTTTTTAATAGCAAAGCCATATTCCATTGTGATATGTGTCACACCTTTAATCCACGGGGTGTCAAAGGGAACCATTTTTAAGCAGCCCTAAATATGATTTTTTAAGAGAGGTTTTTGCTTGCATATAAGGCATAAAAATATGAAGCTAAGAATCTTAACAGAGTGAGAAGATTACAAATTTATCAAGCACCTAGAAAGCATGCATTACTGTGCTAGCTTTGGAGTTCAAAGACATCTCAGAACAAGAGAACACATTTAAATACTTAATGCACTCCTCTACTCTGTAGCACTGTAGCACTGTCCTCCCATTGTTCACTGATTTGCTCGAGCGGGTACCAGTAATGTCTCACAACAAATTGTGAGACTTGTTGTTTCTGTTTTTGGTATATCAAATATGTCACGGGTAGCTTGCCAGGCTTTGCCGTGCAGGCGAGATACTCTCGGTAGCTTGCTGGGCTCTCCGAGAAAGGCAGAGAAATCGAACTTGGGTTGGCTGTATACAAGACAAAGGCCCTACCCACTGTGCTATCATTCCAGCCCTCCTATACTCTATACATTGGTATTTCCCTAAACATCAATTATGCATTTCAATTTTATGACAAATTTTTGTAAGAGTCCAATAGGTTGGATATTAAAATACCTGCTATTTAATTCCTTTGAATATTTTGTTCCCTTCATCTTTCCCCTATAATATTTTCTCTTATTACATAAGTATTCACTATAGAACATCTGGGAAACATAAAAATGAAAAACATTCATCTTTCTAGTCTCATATCTCTTAACATATTATGTAATTCCAGTCTTTCTATAAACATTTTTAATAGAATTGTGATTACTCAGTTCACAGTTTAGTATCTTGAAGGTTACTAATATTATATTTAACAAATTCTCAGCTACAAAAAAATTCAAATTTGGGGCTGGATTGTGTTATGCATAAAATCCTACCATCAACAGTATTGTAAACTATGTTGTTTTACTTTTTTTAAATGAAAGTTTTTCTTAATGCCTGCATAAAAGTTACATACAAGTGGTACTACATGGAAAGTATCATATAGCACATAGCACATAGGCCCTCCCGTTGATCGTCGATTTGCTCGAGCGGGCCCAGTAACGTCTCCATTGGAGACTTTGTTGTTACTGTGTCTGGCATATCGAATACTCTCGGTAGCTTGCCGGGCTCTCTGAGAGGGGCGGAGGAATTGAATGCGGGTCGGCCATGTTGGCTGCGTGCAAGGCAGACACCCTACCCGCTGTGCTATCGCTCCAGCCCTAAGGACTACAGCACCCGGTATTCCCAGGCGGTCTCCCATCCAAGTTCTAACCAGGCCCGACCCTGCTTAGCTTCCGAGATCAGACGAGATCGGGCGCATTCAGGGTGGTATGGCCGTAGACTTAAAGTATCATGTTAAAGTATCATGTTAAGCGAAATGACTCAGAAAGAAAGGGACAGACATAGAAAGATTGCATTCATCTGGGGAACATAAAGTAACAAAATAGGAAACTAACACCCAAGTATGGCAGAGATTAGTACCAGGAATTTTACTCAATGACCCGGAGGACAACCACACATGTTAGGGGAAGGGGGAGCTCAGAAAGAGAAGGGAACACCAAATAAAGGGTGTTGGGAGGATCCGCCCACGATGGGAGAGCATGCTGAGGGTAGTCTGTCGACCAAGCATGATTGCCACTCAATGCCTCTTTTGCAGACCATGGCACTCAAAAGGAGAGAGAGGGAAATGCCCTGCCACAGAGGCAGGGTGGGATGGGGGCTGGGGAGGGGGAGGGGATGCTGGAATCCGTGGTGGTGGGAAATGCGCACTGGTGGAGGGATGGGTGTTTGATCATTGTATAATCGAAACCCAAGCACAAAAATGTGTAAGTCTACAACTGTACCTCATGGTGCCTCACTATTAAAAAATAAATAAATATATATATAAAAAAAAGTCCACGTGGATATACTATAATTTACTCATCAATTACTCTACTGGTGGTTTGGCCACCATTTCTGGAGCAGAAAGTCACCTTTCCCCCAGTTGTTTCTCTTGGGTGTAATCAGCTCCTAACACAAACCATGTCTTTTTTTTTTTCTGTTTGGGTCACACCGGGTGTTGCACAGATGTTACTCCTGGCTCATGCACTCAGGAATTCCTCCTGGGGTGCTCGGAGGACCATATGGGATGGTGGCAATTGAACCTGGGTCGGCCGCCTGCAAGGCAAACACCCTACCCACTGTGGTATCGCTCCAGCCCTCAAGTCTTTGAATGTATATGTAGCTTCTTTCTGAAAAGCAAAATGAAATCTTTGGCATTGGCTGGTTCCAGTCCACTTCTTATGTTATGTGTACTTGGTCAAATTACTTCTTAGAACTCTCTATTTTTAAAGAGAGTTTAGAAGAGAGCTGATTTTCTCCTTCCCCACAAGTTAAGAATAGAGGAATGCCTGGGATCAGGGACTGAGTTAGAGACAGCGGGATGGAGGCGTTGGCCAGCTACCTTCCTTTCAACTGGAATCACTCTAATGATCAGTTTCACATATCATTTTCATCTATGCAAAGTTTCCTAGAAGAGCAAACACCAAAGCCTTAAACAAAGAATGTCTAAATCATGGTTCTAGTGGTTTATAAAATGTGAGAGATAAATAATAAGCACTAGTATTTGCTGATTGCTAAGCACTTGAGAAAGACTTTCTATGGCTTGCCTAACTTACAACTTGTACATTCCTTTCAAGATGAGGAAGCTGAGGCAGTTGAGGTTAGATAAGTAATTTGCCCGAGGTCACACACAGAGTGACTTGGAGCCCTAATCTGATGCAGAGTGTTGGGTTGGGGGGGCCAGATTCCCATCCCGCCACTATTCTGCTTCTCCAGAGAGGCACAGGCTACTCAAAAGATCTCAAATTCCTTCCAGCCTTACTACTTACTGCGTGAATTAATTATCAGGAAATTTATAAGATAAAGATTGCACATAGATTATGTGCTCTAAGTGGAGAAGCGCTGAAATCTCATACAAGCTCTAGACTTGTCTGCAAAAAAACTCTTGCTTGTAGTTGTGGAGAGAGGGAAGTATATGGTACTGAGGAGAAAATCCAGAACCTCACTAGTAAGACTTTGGATGAGACACTTAATCCTGAGAAAAATGAAAAGAGTAGGAAGACTTGAGACATCCCATCCTAAACACAACATTAAGTATTTAGACTTTCTAGTCAGAGAGATAATACACCAGGTAAGGTGCTTCCCTTGTATACAGCCGACCCATGTTCAATCCTTGAAGTCCTTGGGGGCTCCACATACAGTCAGGGCTGGCCAGGAATGATCCCTGATAACCACCAGGTACAGCCCAGAAACCAAAAAGGAAAGAATTTAGATGCTCTTTTAAAAAAAATTCTATTTAAAAACTAAATGTGATATATTCTCATTAATTTCCTCCCATGCACCTGTTTCCCAATTTCTCTATATTTAGTCTCCCTTATTGCAAACCTATATTTCAGATTAAGATATTAAAGCAAACTTTGTTCTAAGTACTTTTCTAAAAATCAAATTCTAAAACAAGTGAGATGATTAGAAAGAGAGCTTAAATATGCTAGTGGTTAATGAGAAATGTTTACATGCCAGGAATATGCATTTAATAAAAGTCTCACTAATCAGCTGAAGGAATGAACAATCAAACATCAAAGTGCATCTTCTGATGTAAATGGCAAACACTACAGGCTGGCCAACAGGCTCCCTTCAGGACAGGAAACACATCTGCACATTAAAGATTTGTGCTAAGATCAAAATATATTTTACAACCAAACTTTCTGTGCTATTAAGAGTCACTACAATTAACCTACTTCGAGCTGATTAAAAGGAAAGCTACTATAACTCATGTTGTAATGCCTTCATTATACTGTGAGATGGGAAAATAATATGGAGTCTTAAAAGTCCTGGATACGAGAGGGAGACTGTCCTTTTTAAAAACACACTATAAGAATCTCAAGATTCCATACATGATAGAGAAGTAAAGTATTTAACAGTTTCAACATAGATGGTACTTCCTAATCACTATTTTTCAGAAATATTAAAAAAAGAAATATAAAATAAATTTAACTCCCAATTGTTTTTCAAAATAATCTAAGTAACATCTTCAATTAAAATATGATCTTAAAAAAAAAAAGTTAAAAGGTCTGAAAAAAAACTCCATCGACCATAAATGGATCAAAGGCTGACAAAGAATTAATTCTCCATTTCAATACATTGCCAATTCAACAAGGGCAAAGCCTGTGGAAAAGAGATATTAATAAACTGAGGATTTGGCAAAGGGAAAATATTAGGTAGAAAATAATCACTACGGAGAAAAAGACATTTGTTCTTGTTCTGTTACAGGAAACAGTCTATTAAGAGTTTCATTGTAAGATCTTCTTCCCCAGATTTGTTTACCCTGTAGCTTCACAGCATAACATTACAATTCTGGTTTTTCCACTGGTGTATTCCGGCCGGAAGACAGGTAAGGTGTCCAGAATCAGGTACACAGCAACTTTTCTCTTAAGGCTCATGCTTGGAGATTCCAACTGTTCTGTCACATGGGCCTTCTACAAATAATGGGCATCATTCACTCAGGTTATTTCCCTGATGCTGTCATTACAGAACAAATAACTGACTATATCAAAGGTCTCTAGGTTGGCAGCTGGTGAGGTAGCTCAAATTATTCATTAAGCAGATTTTTTTTTAAAGTGTTCACCAAACAGACCTTCCACTCTAATGCTGGTTTCTCTAAGAATTAAAATAGAATCAAACCATTTGTGAAAAGGCCAGTTCAATAATTATGTGCATATGCAGGTAAAAAAAATCCTAAGCAATTTATTCATTTTTAATTTAGTAACTTCAGGGGGGCAATGTAAGTGGAGTGGGTAGGTCTGGGGAAGAGGAGTTAAGAGAGTCTGGGAAGGAAGGGGCGGGGGTTTGAAGGGGGTGGATCCTAGCAGTTGTATATGGAACCTTCTCCTATCCTGCCAAATTACACATATGACAGTGATGTGCAATCTCCACCAAAAAAAAAATAATAATAATGCCAAAAGCCAAGCTTCTTTGCTCTTCCCCAGGTATTACAGATGGTAAGTCACATCCACTAAACATAACCACATTGCCACTGCATGCTGTTAACTGGCTTATCTGCCTACATGTTGTGTAACAGACTGGGCAATAAATTTTTCAAGGACAACATACTGAATCATCTGTGAATCATCTCCCATCTAGCAAAGAAGGCACTCAACAAATATGTAAAGAATCAATAAGAGAGTATTCAGACTGTGCTTGAGCTTGATCCTCCTACCGTGCCCCTCCAGTTAGCAAACTGTCTACCAGTGAGAAAAGGGATCTCTTTTCCTTTTCTGTAACTGAAAGTCACTTTCAACCTAGAAGCAAAAAATATGACCCCATCCCCTAACACTATAAAAGGACAACAAGTAATCCAACTCGTAACTGAAATTTTTCTTTTTAAAGATCAAAGCCAATAGTGCATTTATTTGTGTTGGTTCTTGCTTGGAGGCCACCACCTGGTAGTGCTCAGGACTTACTCCTGGCTCTGTGCTCAGCTGACCACAGACTGTGCCTGGGACGGAACTGGGCTCAGCCACATGCAATGCAAGCCACCTTAAGCGGCTGTATTATCTCTAAGGCCCCAACAATGCATTTCCACTCCATTGAAGTCCTTTAAATCCTCTTGAACTCACACATGCCCCAGTCGCTGGGTCATACTACTGTTAGCTCCGTGTTTTCAAATTCACTGCACTGTAGCACTGTCTTCCCGTTGTTCATCGATTTGCTTGAGCGGGCCCAGTAACGTCTCCATTGTGAGACTTGTTGTTACTGTGTTTGGCATATCGAATACATCACGGGTAGCTTGCCAGTTCACTGCATGTTTTTTTTTTTAAATCTAGAAATGCCAGTGCATTTTTAAAGAAGAGATTGAGCCTTATTACTTATGTGAACAACTTGTTTTATATTCATTTAAATCATATATTAAAAAAGAACCTAGCAGAGTCTCTTGGGCTCATACCATCTCCTTTAAACCTTCACAGTGTTCTTGAACTAATAGCCCCCTTCAACCATATTCATTTCAGCAGAGGCGCTTCCACAAATGCAAAAACCACCACTCGGGCACCTCGGGGGGAGGTGGGAGGAGAGTGTGTGTGTGTGTGTGGGGGGTGGTCCAGCCTCCCTACAGACACGACCCCCCAGTCCCTTCCCGCAGTTACTTACAGGGTCACTTTGGTGGTCACCGTCGACCTGCCCGCGCCGAAATGGTTCCTGGGTTTCAAAGAGGAGTCGGAGCCTTCGGATGCTGCGGCCGCCCGGCCCGCTTCTTTGCCTCGACCTCCTTCCCCGCGCCCGTCGAAGTGATTGGGCAGCGGGCTCCGCTTGTGCTCCGACCTGAAGTCGGGCAGCTGCGAGCTGCTCTTGACCATGAGCTCGCGCGGGACCACCCGGGTGGCCTCGTCCCCGCTGTCCCCCGCGGCGCCCTTGGCCGCCGCCGCCGCCGGGCTGGGCTCGGGGGCGGGAGTCTTCTTGGGCGCGGTGGACTCCTTGGCGGCTGCCCGCGGGCCGCCGACCGGAGAAGGGGGCACCGCCTCGGGCACGCGGCTCCTGCCCCTCCGCTTGGTGGGGGACGCGGCGGGCGGCTGCGGCGTGGCTCGGCTCCGCTCCGCCGCCTCCCCGGCCCCGCGCTGCTGCGCTTTGGCCGCGCCCGCGCCCGGCTTGCAAGGTTCGGGGCTGGCAGTGGGCACGACGCCCCCGTCGGTGGTGGCCACCCGCGGAGGTTTCCCTTTCTTTTCCGCCGACCCGTTCTCGGGGCCCGCCTCGTCTTCGAACACCGCGTCGTCGTCCCGGGCCGTGCCGTCCGCGGCTCCCGACGGAGCGTCGGTGCTTTTCTGCGACTTCCTGCGCCGCCCCGAGCGCCGCCCGCTCCCTCGCTTCTCCATGTCCTCGGGGTCGCTGCACTCGCCCCCCTCCCCGGCGGCGGGGGCCGGCTCGCCCCCCGGAGCCGCCTCGGTCTTCCGCAAGTAGATGTCCAACGTCAGGACCGTGGCGGACGGGCTGCGCTCCCCAGGCGCGCCTCGGCCGCGCGGCAACGCCGCGTCCTCCGCCGGAGGGTCGCCTGGGGGATCACCCGACCCGTGCCCGTCCGGGGGGGCTCGGTCGGCGGATTCGCCGGCTGCTCCCGGGGACCCCTGCAGCCCCCTCGACCCCTGCTGGGCCGTCTCCCGCTGGCGGTCTGCGCCCGGCTGCGCCGCGTCCTCCCCCGCCTCCGCCTGCTCTCGCCCCGAGTTCTTCTCTAGCGAGGAATGCAGCTGCTTGGCAGCGGTGGTGGCATCTGGGAAAGTCTCTCCCTCTGCCTCTACAGGTTCTAATTGGGATGAATCACTTTCGTGGCCCTGCGGCCCCGCCGCCGCTGCGGTGCTGCACGAGCCGCCACCAGGTGACAGCTCGGTGTGGCTCACGGGTTCCTGGAAGCAGGGCTGGTCCTGGGGCTCCTGGGGCTTCTGGGGGCCGCCCGGCTCCTCGCAGGCATCCGTTTGCTTCGGCTGGTCGCCCTGAGGTTTGTTGCTCTTCTCGCCCTCCTTCTCGGCGAGCTTGCCGGCGGTTACATCTTTGGGAGGCCCAGATTTGGCATTTGCGCTGGTGGGACACTCGACCCCGTTTCTCGTGTTCCTTCTCCTCCCAGCAGTGAACAGATTGCCAAGTTTCCCCAAAACTGGCTTCCTTTTGTTCTCTTCTGGCGGCTGTGCTCTGGACTGCAAAATAAAAAGAGATGGGAAACACAACATGTTAAGAATCTGGGTTTGGGTTTTGGGTTTTTAGGGGTTTTTCTTTCTTTCTCCCCATTCTTCAGTAGTAAGCACACGACGCAACTACAAACCATTATGATAATAAATCAGGAGTTTTTCTCAGTGAAAACGAGAGCTGTGGTTTGGTTACATTCATTCCCACAAAAAAAACCCAAAACAAAAACAAAACAGTAATTTTAAATTTTTCTTAATGTTTAACGCGTCTTAGAATGACTTTTCCTGTACGGTAAGAACTTAGGAAAATTCGGATAGTTCCTAGATCTCATTTTTTGCTTTTTTTTTTTACCTTGGTGCAACCCTAAGCACCCACGCGTGTCAATAGCGCAGCAGTAAAAACAAAGTATCCTTTTTTAAAAACAAAGTATCTCAAAGCGGAATTTGGCCCGTTAATGCCGCCCTTTTTTTATTTCTAGGAGAGGAGGGGCAAGGAAATCAAAAACAGCGCCCACTAGAACGGTAATAATCCAGCTGACTTCAACATTAAGCACAGGCAGGAACACAGAAAACCAAGTCCAGATCACCTGGGCCCGCCCTTTAGCCCTGCCAGGTTCGCGGCACCCAATGGGAGACGCACGCGGGCATTCAAACGCCCGCCCCCACCCAAACGATCCCGCCGCTTCCGAGTTCTCTCGAGAGGCTTTTCCCCGCCCGGAGTTCGCAGGAATGTAAACACCTGGAGTAACCAGGGAGGAAACAGGGCGAAGGTGGCCGCACCTCCGCTCGGGTCCGGAGGCGCGGGTGCGCTGAAGCGCGTCGGTCTCTACCCTAGCCGATCTCGGCCAAAGCGGGGGGACACCCCAATGCGCTCCGGGGTGCAGTGGCGGGAGCCCCAGGTGGACACCCGCCCGTGGGAGGGGGCCAGAAGCGCGTGGGGCTCTGCGCTAGCCGACATCGGCCGGCGGGGTACACCCCGTTGCGCACCAGGGCGCACTGGCGGGAGCCCCAGGTGCATACCCGGCGTGGGAAGGGGCCAGAGGGACGTCGCAACGCTCCTCCTCACCTGTCCTGGGATAGAAAGGGGGGGGGTGGGGGAAACCTGCTCTTCTTACAACGCCGGGGGCCAAACGGCTCTCACCTGGTGCCAGCGCCGGAAGCCAGGAGGGCGCGCTGCGCAAATCAATAAAAACCAGCCCGCCAATGGGCGCAACGGCGCGGGGAGGGGGTAGGTGCCGGCAGGAAGAGGAGGAGGCCGAGCTGCCAGGGAGGGTATGGGAGGGTCCGTCCTGCCAGGGATCCCAGAAAAAGGAGGCGTATTCCCGGGACAACGTCGCTGAATCCAAGCCCCCTAAGTAAGGCTGCGATCACTTAAGCGTTAACCCCGCCACTGAAAACCCAGGCGAACTAGCCTGAGCCCCGGTGAGGCTATGAAGAGCCCCCGCCTTGCCAGGAAGGAATGTTTTTACGATATTGACTGTAGGTGGTTTCGGTGGGGAGAGGCTTCCTGAACGGTCAAGCGATCAGTGTGCTTTGGAGACGGTTGGAACCAGACAAGGCTACGTAAGATCATAGAGGGCCGGGGAGATCGCCCCCGGATCGCCTCCTTACGCGCAAGGCTCCACGGAGAAGCCCCTGGCTCCTCTGGCACGGTCAGGTCAGAACTGGGCCATACTGCTGAGCCCTGTAGTGAACAGCTTCAGCTTTTCCCCACCCACAAAGAGAATGCAAGGAATTAGGAAGCCCGTGCGTTTATTGAGACAGTGCAAACACACTGGCACAATAGTTTATTTAGACAACAAAGTCACCACATGGTATTATGCATCAACTTAGAAGAAACTCAACACCTGTTGGGATAGGAATACTCAAGTCACAGTTCAAGCCCAAATCCTTAGCTTTGACCTCATGGGCGGGGGTGGGGGGGGTAGAAAATGAAGGACTAGGGGTGGGCACTCTGGAGCCAGAGTCAGCCCAGCCGCCAGGAATAATTTCCAGGCCACGCCCACCGCGAACCTCCCCAACCCGTTGGTTTCAGGTCATTGGCCCCCTGAAGCACATTTACTAAGGGAACCAGAGGGATTCTTCCCTTTGAGAAGCACCTGGTGGGAACTTTGCAACTGAACAGCAAATGAATGTCCTCAATGGACCCGAGACGCAGCCAGTGGGTGCTTTGGTAACAATTTATATTGCCTAAAATCTAGCCAGGTTTTGAAGAATAATTACTTGATAGTTATGTAGATAATATAGAGATGTCAGGGTATAATATTTAAAAATCACTAGAGCCAGAGGCCAGTATAGAGAGTAGGGTGCTTGCTTGCCTTGCACGCAGCCAACCCAAGTTCAATCCCCAGCCACCCATATAGTTACAGATTCCTGCAAGAAGTGATCACTGAGCACCCTTGGGTGTGTCCCCACCCCCCAAAAAACCCACCACTAAAACACTCCAACTGCCCTGGGATTGTTTGGATATTTGGATAGTTGGATCACTCTCCTGCAAGTCTCCTGCAAATTATACTTAGTGAGCCCTCCAAAATTCCAGTCACTTGCTGACCGATTTACAGATCTTCATCCAGTCCTTCTAATTGACTATATTTTTTTCTACCCATTTGCCAAGATGATTTCTCCCTGCCCATAGTCAGTAAATCCTTTTTTTTTTTTTTTTGGTCTCTATTGAGCTACTGTGATTCACAATACTTAATGATAGTTTCGTGAACACATTATTCCAGCCCTACTCTTAGCACCAGAGTACCTGCTTCCCTGCACCAAGGACCCAAAGACTCGACCCTGTCAAACCCCCTTCCCAACTCAGTTCTATGGATCCCTCTTAGTCAGTAAAGTCTCAACTGTGCAATTGGGGTTCTTTGTCTCTCTGCCTGGACAGGCCTTCAAACATAGCTTGTAGAAGTAGCCTAGAAAAAAAATAGATTGGAGTCTACTGGCTTAATTCCACTACATGTCCAAAGAAAACAGCTACGTGTATGTATTATTCTGTCCTGCCAATAGTGTTGCAATCCATTTTTCCCATGCCTTGAAAGATGCCTGATCAGCAGTCCACTGTGCTCAGTACAGAGAATTTGTTCATTTTCTACTTTTACAGAACAGGTTCTTCCCTGCTGGCCTCATTAGCTACTTGCCTCCGAGGGGCATGCTGGCTGCTCTGTCTGTGGAATGCCCTAGAATTCTTGAATTTTGTTTGCCTTTTTACCCATGCCTGTTCATAGCAGCTTCATTCACACCAGTCAAAAGCTGCACACAGCTTTAAATTCAACTGGTGTATCCAGTCAAATACAACACTGCTGGGCAGTGTTTGAGGCCATGAGATGGGCGTGGAGTTGTGAGAACTAGGAATAGGATTTAGGGAAAACACTGTATGGAATCCAGACCAGCCCAAAGTCACTTGAAATATAGGACCCATTTGAGGAAACCAGAAAATCTTCAAGATGCAGAATTCTAAGCAGCTGAACCCCATGGGAGGAGAGGGTACACCACTGAACAAAGACCATGCTAAAAACTGAAAGAAACACACACACACACACACACACACACACACACACACACACACACACACACACACTAGGGGGCAGTGCAGAGAGGTAGTACAGCCAGTATGGCACTTGCCTTCTTCAAGGCTCACCCAGCTTTGATCCATAGCACCTGAGCCCCACCAGGAGTGATCACTGAGTATAGAGCTCGGAGTAAATCCTGAGCACAACCAGGTGTGGCCCCAAACCCTCACAACACACACACATACACGCACACACACACACATACAGACACACAACCCCCAAAAGAATGTCAAAGATGACTATTGACAACTCCTCCAAGTTTTTCCCCCTTGGCAATCAACCTAGTAACAGACTTTGTGGGGGGGCAGTTTAAGAAAACTATATAAAAAAAATCTTGGCAAAGGCAAAGGTACACAGCATTCTGAATTCTGGGGAAGCAGCCCACACCTCTGCCTGAGGTGTGCACCTTCTTTCTGGTTCACGTTTTCCATGTTGGGGATTCACTGTGGCTCTACCTGGGGGCATATATTGGGCTCTCTCTACTTAGGAGAAGCCTGTGCTTTCCCTTGAATGAAAAACTCTTTCCACTTCTTTCCCAAATAAACTTATCTTACTTCATTATCCATTACTCCTCAAATTCTTCTGCTATCTCTCTGAGAGATAACAGAAGACCTGTAAAAAAAATACCTTAGT